ATGTGGCCCAAAGGTCCATTAAGATTGGAAACTAGTAACAGACTTGTTATTGACTAAACGTCAAAACTATTAAAATGTTTTTGAATAAAAATCTAATAAAAATTATTACTATCGAAAAACAATTTCGTTAACGCATATCTTGCTTGACAATGTCTACCCATTTATTGGAGTTGCTTTGCTAATGTTTTTGGGTAATGGGTAGGTGGTCGGTATTAATTTAATATGTTCGACCCATGTCGGTAAGAATGAGTGTGCCCCACTGAATATATGTAAGTAATGTTAATTAAAATATGGTTCGCGGCCCACGGGTTGGGAACCGCTGGTCTATATATTAGGAACACACCATACACGTGCGACATGAATGTATAAAATACGAACAATGACGACATGATCAACGTGGCAATAATTTAATGGTAAACAATATTATTATAGTTATGAGATCGTTGTCGCGGGCAATTGTGTTGCGCAATGCGCAGCGACGCGCGACCGAGCGACAAAACGCGGTTGTTGCACGGAGACAAAAACGGGAAACGGAGCGAGACGGAAAACGAACGGATAAGGAGAGACGAAACCGCCTCGTAAACGTATTCGCGAGCTGTTACAAGATAGGCGACGCGCATGCGCAACGGTCGATCGCGTTCACAATAATAGTGCATCGGAGGTTTTCGTTCCTTGGCCGATGTGTGATACGTGCATAATGGGCAGTGTAATTCGTGATACGTCCGCTCGTATTGCATTCTTATCACGCTCGCACGAATGCAACGGTGCACTGCGAGATACCGAAGGGAAAATAATAGACGAAAAATGTGAAACCTATTTGTAACCGCAGATATAAAAGGAAATAATCCGATTATTTAATGTCGTAGAATCCACGGACACAGTATCTCTGTAAAAAAAAAAAAAAAATTAATAATAATTATTTCGTATCCGTGTTGAATAATTTTCTTCTTCGTTTCTCCCCCACCCCGAGTCGTGGCGAGACATTGTCGCTCCCCTCGCTGTGTTGTTAATTAAATTATATTTCATACTTTCGTCCGTCCTCCGTCGCATTACCGTTTGTTATTTTTCCACCCGTCTGGCACACTTCGAAAAGGACGTTTATTGTCGTTGTCATCGTCATCGCCGCTGTCGTCGTCTAAACACGGAAGCCATACAGTCACATTATGTAGAAAGTAAAATACAAACTTTTATTCTCATTCAATCGTTTACTCTGTTAATGTGTTTTAATGTTTTTGTTTTTATTAATTTTCTCACGAATACGCGCGCACACTCGTTAAAAATTTATTCTCATATTGATAATCGGTAATTGTCTCCAAACGATTATTTGGCTCTTTGCGGATAGGTACTTGTTGCAATCATTACTGTCGTTGTTGTACGCTGGTCCGAACATCACAAGTTCGGTGATGGTACAAAAATCATTCCCCATCGCATGAGTTTTGCTTTTTGTTAAGGGCAACCTGCAAAATACGTCTACTTTTGACGTAACAGTCTTTGCTGGCCGTAAGTACAAGCTTTTTGTTGTATTTGTTTTGCATTTGTAGTGGGTTTCTACAAATTGTTTTTCATTCAACATTTTTTTGTCCTCATTAATCAATCATTAATACTAAACTAAATATTGATCATAACTAAACTATACTAATATTTAAATAGTTTTTTTTTATTTGTGTGTTTATTTTTATAATTATTTTATTAATTGTTTGTACTAAAATGTTCAATTTACCTAGTGTCTTGTGTTATCATTTTCTATAAGATTATTGGAAAATTAACTGCCTATTTTAACGTTATTAACTCTTATGCAATAAGATATTGACAAATAACTTTATATTTTTGGCTTTCTATAAAGCATAAAAACTTTTATAGTTTTTACCAGGGTCTCATTAATTTTTAAATTATCCTAGGACATCTTACTAGTTGTATTAGCTCTCTTTTAAATCTAAATAAGTTATGTTCTTTTAAAGTGATCTATAAGAACAAAAAATATTACCAACATCAGACTTGGGTATAACCATATTGGTAATTTATTATAAAGCAAAAGTAATGTTAAATGTATAATTTCACAGGATGCCACTATTTTTTTAGTCACATTGAAAGTAAATAGTACATCAGATAAGAACTCTTCTGATGTTGGTATGACATGTACTTTTCATTGTAAGTCAATTAGGAAGTATAAAAGTTAAATATGAAAATATTCACTTTCTAATTTGTTTATTAAATTGTTGGTTACACCATTGAATTTTATATATTGTGTTTTAAGATATTATTGAACTGTACTTAGAAGTATAATGTAAATATGTTAAAATACATCTTAAAAATTCTGGAAATTTCATTAATCACTAATTTTTTTTGTTCTGTTATTTATTAAAAATGATAATAAATGTTGGAAAAATAATTTTTAATTGAACTATGTTGGTTATATATTTACTATTTTTTTTTAAATAAATTAAATTAAGACAATATAATTAAATACGATTTATATAACTTTTTAGAAGAACAAAAACTACATTTATTGGTCATATAGAAATTAAATTAAAATGTATTATTATTTGATATAATTTAAAATTTAATAATTTTTATCATTATGTATTTATTACAGTAAAAAAATATTTAATTCATATTGACATTATTATACAGTAATTTAAGTTAATAGGTAGTAATAAATAATTTTGTTAGGTTTTTAACGTTATTTACTAAGAATTCACTTTAATTCCTAACAAATAAGTTAATTTTATATTAATTGTAATTCAAATAGAATTGTATGTTAATTGTTGTATATTTGTAAATTCATAATAAAAAAAAGATTTTAAAATTTGTATATGATAATTATTTATTTTCACAATACAAAAAAAATGTGTAGCATTTAGAATTGCATAATTTCCCAACTACTTCACAGGTACATTTATTTGTTTCACACTTCGTCTTACAGTGACATCTTTGATAGTCTTGTGTACCTATAAGACATTCTTAAATCTTTCATAGATTTTTTTTTCCTCATGTGTTTTCAATACAAATTTTGAATATTTTAATTGTTCAATATGAATATTGTATTCATCAATAGTTAGAAATAAGTTATTGTAACTACGTTTTTTATTAATTATATCAAATATTGTTAAATTTACTTTTCATTTCAAGTTCATCTATATTGGATAAAAGCTTACACGGTTTAAAGAAAATTAAAATGAAAATGTACACAATTCTAAAGAAAATTAACACAGAATTTTACGAAATACTTCATAACGATACAACGATGCCAAAGAATTTTGTTTTCCTTATACTTAAAGAGATAGATAATCTTGTAAATAATATAATGTATTGTATGTATTATGTAATTTATTATGCTTATTCAATCTTTCTTCATAAATATGCTTTAGAAAAGTATTTTATATTATTGTTTGTATCGTTAATGTTTAATCATGAATATCTAAGACTTAAAATTATGTTATTTCAAAATATTGTCTTGTCAGTTTTAGTATTCAAAATAGAATTTATGCAAAACATTTTATCATGAACCTAAATCATTGCTTTTACGTGATATTAAAGGTCATTAACTTTATATGATTAGTTATAGAATATATTCAGTTCAAAGGTTGCAAATTATTTATACTCATAATAAAATTATTTTAATCCACCAAAATATAAAAATGAATAAAGTATAGTAGTGAAATAATATTTATAAACAGCTGTCGTAAGAAAATGAAGTAACAGTTTTCACTGCATGTATTTTAATAAGTTTTATTTTATATTATCAAAATAATTAACTATAATGTATAAAAATAAAATCAATAAATTAAAATAATAATTTTATCCTTGATATTAATTTATACAAAAAAATCACAATAATATGATTAATAAACATTTTGTTTCTAGAAAAAGTTATCTAAAAAAAAAACATAGAAAAAATAATCATGATAGCATTAGGAATTTCATATATTTGAATGTATTAGCTTATAAAAAAACATGTTTTAAATTATATTAAAAATAAACTTTAAATATTCTAAAGAAGATACTAATTTATTAAATAAACATTTTTCAGGAAAAATATTTAATAAATTTTGAATTTGTTATAATCATATTGGTATTTAAACAATACTTACAATTTCCTGTTAATAATATTTAAACAAAAATTAATTGCATTAAAAATTAGTAATTCACTTTGTCTTCATTCTTACCTAAATTGAGATTTTCTCATTAATTCCAATAAATTATTGTATTGTAGGTAGGTATGTATATAAATGTACTAAAAACTAATAAGTTCATTTACATGCATAAATTATAATAATTATTAATAATTACTTATTAATGTTTTATACTAAAACCAATAGAACTTAAAAAAAATACTCTTGATATGTTATTTATTTTATTATTATATTTTTAATCTAGACATGCATGGATTGGAAGCAAATAATTCAAAAACATAGTCGTAAGATCTTAAATAGAATAAGTATGGACTTGATGTTAGAAGCATATTTAACACACGAATCAAGTCTCATGGATGTGGAGGATTTACCACAAACAGTGGAACCTGTATGGATACTAGGAAAAAAATATAGTACAATTATTGGTAATTAAATATTAATTGATAATTATTAGTAGTTTATCATTTTCCTATTCTATTAAAAAAAATTATTTATTTGCTTAATGTTTATTGTTAGATAAATTATTTTTTTGTTTATGAAAAAATTAGTTTAATTATTTAATATAATTAAAATATTTAATATTAATGATAAAATAGTCAATATTCAAATAGCTGTATTTTTTTTTATAGAGCCACAGCTTATAACAGTAATTGGTTTATTATGTATAAGTCAATGTTGATATTAACAAAACAAGATATCAAAATAATTAGATATTAAAATAAATAGAAAATAATTAATGTATAATATTAATAATATAATAATTAAATAATTTAATTTATCAGTTTTAGAAAAAAATAAAAATGTATGTTTAATTTAATTATCATTTAAAGATTTATTTTAAAATATAATTTTATTCTTAATAAATAATCATATAAAATAATTTATAATTTTTATTTTTTTTTGTATTTTAAAAGTAAGTTTATTATTATTTATATTACGGTATCTATATTATTTTTTAAAATACTTTTATCATTAAAATAAAAAAAAAAAATTAATCTTATTCAATTTTTTATTTAAAAGTAATCTAAACGAGAAGAGATATCAATCTATTTAAACGTGGAGGAAAGATTGACGACTCTAAACAATTTGACGGGAAAAAAATGAAAATTTTATCGTTGATTATGACGATACTTTTTTTTTCAAAAAGAATTTATACTCCTACAATCAAGACATTTTTTTTAAACATAATTTATTATGATATTATTAATTAGGTATAATAATATAAAATATGGCTATTATATTAAATAAATACTAAGTCTCTTCTTCTAATTTAATTATTTAATAATTGTTTTTTAACAAACAAATCATATAGTATTGTATAATAATAAATATAATTTATCTTTTTATTGTTTTAAGATTTACAACAAATACGAAGTGATGTTCAATCCAGATTATGGTTTACATACAGAAAAGGTTTCATTCAAATTGGTAATTCAAATTTTACCTCTGATAGAGGTTGGGGATGTATGTTGCGGTGTGGTCAAATGGTTATTGGTCAAGCTTTAATCTTTTTGCATCTTGGTTAGTATCTCATTATATTCGATAACAAAGCGTAAGGTTGTTTCTTTTATTATTTTAAATGATACTTTATTTTTGATTGTAAATAAATAATAATGCATACTGCTATTTCCAAATATTTTATTATTTTGATAAATATTTCTAAATTTGATATCAATGAGATTTTTAAATTTATTATCATAAAATATATATTGATTTGATCAAAAATCTTTATTTAGTTTCTTTTATAAAAAAAAAATGTTGGAAATTCTATTAATTTTATTGAAAGAACATTGGAATTAAACTCTATGATAAATTAATAAACCATCAATACCATACCTTCTTAACATTTGAAACGTAACCACTTATTTATGTTTAGTATCATATTTTGTTTAATATATATGTATAAATCTCAATGTCTATTTAAATATTGTTAAATTCATATTTTACATTAAATCATTAATTAATAAAAATGTTAGGTATGTAATTTGAAATATATTATATTTAAATATTTGTATTGCTATATTTTAATACTAATTTACATTATACTTAAGTTACTTTTTCAATGTACTATTATTTGTACCAATGCAAATTTTAGAAAGAATAATAAACTTATTAACATTTTTATTATTTTTATTACATAATGTTCAGAGTGCTAACCTTGCATATATTATGGAATAATAATATATATATATATATATGTAATTCATATATTTAAGAATGATCATTGTAGGGAGAGATTGGCGCTGGGACCCAGATAAGAGGGACCTAGATTATTTAAAAATATTAAGAATGTTTGAAGATAAAAGGTCTGCACCCTATTCAATCCATCAGATTGCTCTTATGGGAGTATCCTATGGTAAGCAAGTAGGCGAATGGTTTGGCCCAAATACAATAGCTCAAGTGTTAAAGTGAGTTTTATTTTGGTTTTTTTTTAAATATATTTTACAATTTTAATTTTACTATTGTTAACACATATTATTGTGCAGAAAATTAGCTGCCATGGATGAATTAAGTTCCCTTGTATTTCATGTAGCATTAGACAACACTCTAGTCATTAATGAAGTCAGTGAGTATCTGCATAATATATTTTTATCATTGAAAGTCATGTTTTTAATTAATTTATTTATTTAGAAAAACTATGTACTGTAATGGAACAAACCCCTAAGTCTAACTCTTGTAAAAAAGTTTGGAAACCATTGGTATTGGTGATACCCTTACGTTTAGGAATTAGTGCAATCAATCCTGCTTATGTTCAAGGAGTTAAAGTGAGTAATAATTTTGGACACTAAACTATCCATTTATTAACTCAATATTTGTTATTAATAATATCCTCAAGGAATTAAATTCTTATAATGTTTGGTATATGATACCATAAATAGACATAATACATTCTCTGGCTAAGAGTGTAGATATAATTGTTTGTGTTGGGTATTTATTTTGTGGTTTGTGATTTTTGATGTTTAGCATTTTTTATTATTTAACTATTCAACTATTTTTATTAATTCAAAGGAACAATAATTAATGAAAATATAATAAATTGTTTAAAAATTAAATTTAAAATTATGATATAAAATAAAAATGTATGTATTCAAAATTTAATTATTTTTAAAACTAAATAAAGTCACTGCACTTGTTAATTTCACTCTTAGTATACACCCAAATGAGTGTAAATAGCTTAGGTGCCAAATGATTATTGATAATATTTTAATTCTGAATACAAAAAAAACATTAAAATTTCTGTGGTATCTACAATATTAATGATCTTTTAAATCTCTCAGTTGCATCTATATTAACAGTTATATAATATTTCTATTAGTTAAGTTAATTGTCAGAACCATTTCATTCAAAACTCAGTATAAATAAAATAAAAATTATAATGCATAAAATGAATGTCCTAAGATCATTTTAGATATTTTTTTTTTAGTTTAAGATAAGATTAATTCAATTTTAAAAATTCTGATGTTTAAAATTAGTTTTTTTTTTATTTCTAACTTATAATTAAGTCTCTTAATTTAAATTGCATCGTAACAAATTCTATTATTAATTCTATTATATGTTTAATATTTAAAATACATGTTTAAAAACAAACATGAAGTTATAAGATTCTTACAGCTTTATAATCTGTATAAATGTAATTGCAATAATTATGTACCTAAGTTAATAAAATAATCTTTTTGTTTCAGATGTGTTTTACTTTTCCACAATCTTTAGGTGTCATCGGTGGAAGACCAAACCACGCACTGTACTTCATAGGTTTCGTAGGTACATCCATTTTTTTAAGCAATTTATAATTATATAATTTTATTCACTTTTATATTTTTTAATATTTAAACAATCATAAAATGTATATTTATTTATTTTTTTTTTTTTTTTGTATCTTAGGCAATGATGTTATATTTTTGGACCCTCACACAACTCAGCAAATAGGAATGTTACCGAACAAAGATATAGAAACAGAACATAAAATTGACAATTCATATCATTGTCAGCAAATAAATAGGCTACCAATTCTTAACATGGACCCATCACTTGCTGCTGTAAGTTGTTGCAATCAGTGGTTAAACCAAAAATTTATGGATGTTAAAATGACTCCCCATTTATGAAAGAAAAAAATGTACATGTATAATGTGTTATGGATCATTAGTTGGCCACGATCAAATTATACTCAAATTATGAATAAAAAAATAAGCTGGTTATAGGAATTTAAATACAATTTTATTATTTACTTATTTACTTCTTTTACCATAATTATTAAGCTCAAAATATTATTTAAAACTCATTTTTAAGTATTTATTTACATATTTTAATAATGTAAAGTATTTTAAGTTGAATACCTTAATCACGATATACCTTTCATTTTTTTTTTTTTTTGTATGGTTTTTCAGTGTTTCTTATGTCAGACTGAAGATGATTTCAATTCACTGTGTCAAGAACTAAAAATACATTTAGTCCAATCTGATCAGGCACCATCACAATCACTTATCACTATATGTGATGACCGACCATCTAATTGGACATTAGATAGTACTGGAAATCTATCCGCATCATCTGATAATATGGCTGTATCATTATCAGGTATGAAACAGAGTATGATTTTTAGTTATATTTTATGGCTACAAATCTTTTTTATTTTCTACTATTCATAAAAATCTATCTTTTTTGTTATTTGTTTATATATATAATATATATTATATATTATATAGTTACGTATCATTGTAGTTGGATGTTTTTACAATTGGATAAATTAAAAAAATAGATACTTATAAAATATTAAGTGATGAAGTCTGATATATAATAATGTTAGGAGTATAAGAGAATGTACCCTCATGATATTTTAAGGATACTTGAATTTCAATTATTATAAATAATTAATAAATATAGTTTTACTTTCACTAAATGGAAAGTATTAAAACACATATCAAAAAAAAACTGCTATAAAACTACTTCTGTCTCTAACAAGATAATATTAGCCAAATTTGTTAAACAAGAATAAGAAAATTTTATTTAATTTTGCCTTAACAATTTGTATTAGAATTTTATTATTTTAATATTATTGCATAGATTAAAGTGTAAAATGAATAATTAAAATATCTTGTTTTTTAGACTTGGAATTGAACGATAAAAAAATGTTAACGGATTCAGATGATGATTTTGAACTTTTGTAAAAAGTACAAATTTATGGGATTTTGTAAAACTTTGAACATACATATGACCTAAGCATATGCATGTACAGCCATGCATACACATATATATAGTTGATTACAAATGTTTTTCTATGCATCGAGGGAAAATATATATTTATTCAGTACAATTCTGGTCATCAGCACAACAATATTTTGAACCAAAATAAAATTATTTATTAGATTGTTTTATAATTTGCAAATTTGTTTTAAAAACTATTATTAATACCAGTTATGTTTATATAACAAAAAATATTTTTATTACTCTAAATAAAATTAACAACAATTATAATTTTCTACCTAAGAAAATTCTAACAAATTCAATGAATTGTTAAAACACCAGATGGGTAAATGTTTATATCTTTGTTATAAAATTGTATTTGGTAACTATTTATTTTGTTGTTGAACATTTATATTGTTAATGTAGTTATTGCCTTATTGTTAAACTAGTTATTAATACATTGATTAAATATATTAAATTATTTTAAATTTAATTAATAATACTAACTAACTGTGTACAATGTACATGAATACTTAACTGTGTAAAAGTAATTGATGGAACAAATTGTATTCTATACACACAAATTGTTTTATTTATTTACTTTAACTCGTTTTTTAGTAAAATTTTGTTAGCATTTTATTTTCATAAATTGTTGACCGAAAGTTGATAAATGTGTCAATTAACTGATGTGTGCCTACACAATTTATACTGCATTATAATTTATAACAAAAATATATTTTTGTAAAATAAATTTAGGCCTTAAAATTTCATGTACTATTAACTAAATTATTATTTATATATATGTTCAATAATTTATTCCATTGTTTTTTTTCTCAACTGTAGAATGAAATTGAAAAATTATATAATTTATATCATTCTTTAGTTTAATACTATAGTAATATAAAAATACTAACAAAAAAAGAATTTTTTAAAAAGTATTAATAATTTGCAAATATATTACATTAAAAGTTCATAATAAGTAATATCTATTTTTCTATATATCTTCTAATATAATAAGTAATAATTTAAATCATTGTTTAATTTTTAGTTGATTAAGCTATTATTTGGGCTGTTAAATGTCAAATACATGAATTTCTAGGGCCTAAATTATAAGTAATGACTGTAAAAATGAAAAAATAAAAATTTAAATTGTATGTACGAAAAGAAATCTTTTTTATTTACTTTTAACAGTTTCAATTATATGAATTGACACTTAAACATAACAAATAAATCATTCATAATATATTTTAATGTTTTGTCAGGTAATATGTAATTGTTGTGATTATTTTTTTAAGAAATCATAATTTATCCATTAGGTTTTATGCACTCGATACTATTACTTCTTGGCAAGTTCACTAGTTTGGACAGTGTTTTGAATGGTTTGTACAATATAAATTTTTATCACAGTATGATATCTACAAAAAAGACTTACTATCTAATTATTAATTTATGTATTCTAATCTCATCAAAACTTAATTTTTGTACTTTAACTGTAATTTTTGTATTTTTATTATTTACATTAAATAAAACTGGGTAAATATATTAATTATAAAATTATTTTATGTGTACATAAAATGAATTTCAATGTATAGAAATATAACTATTTTAATATTGATTAATCCCGAGTGTTATTTATTTTAATTTCATAGTAAATGACAAAAAAATTAGTAGCTATATGAATTCTATTAAATTACATAACTATCAACCTATAAATTAGTACCCAGAGCCGTATCAAACATTGCAGCACCCTGGGGCAAAATGTTTTCTTTGGGGCCACTAGGCACAAGTAGCATAATAATGGCGCCTCTTTACTTTAACAAAACTACGGTGCCCGTGGCGATTTCCCCCTTTGGCCCCCCTTAACACGGCTCTGTCAGTACCCATGAATTTAACAAAACATATCTTCTTATTTAATACCCATAACACACTTGAGTATAAATTAATCACATAATTTATTGATACTATTTCAAAAGAAATTGGAATGTACTTATATTAAAGTTGTATGAGTTATAAGTATTAAAGGCAACAAATAATGAATACCTGACTTATAAACCTATAAAAATGGATCAAAACATTTATGGTTTTATATTCTTTCCAGATAAGCCGCAACCACAAAAAAAACTACATAATAAACCGCGCTGTATATGCAATTAATGTTTCTGAATGGCTCATAAACACGTCGTATATGTATATATACCTGTAGGTAATCAATTCGTTTATTGATTATTATTTTTTTTTTTTTTTTGTAAAAACATTTACTTTTATTTTCCAAAAGGTACTCAGATTTCGTAACGACCGGATCGTGGTTGAATAGCGCACTGGTTAGGTTGAATCCGCTTCTTCGTACGATATTGTTGAATCGCGTCAATTTATGGTTTAGCCATTCGAAATTCTTTAACGTGGATTTCTTCGAACCGAACAAATTCTTTGCAAATTGCAATGATGCACAAAACGCGCAGTCGATTAGATAATAGGCTCGATCAACCGATGGTTCCTTTCGCCGATGAGTTTCGAACATTGTTTTTTCGCGACAACGATCGTTTTGCACACAAAGCGCGTCGATCGATGGGAACTTATACAGCACGCCTTGGTTGGGTGTTCGGATCGAGTAATGAAAAAGAAAAAAAAATATCGTAACATTAACAAGACCACGGACGCTCACACGTGAAGTTCAAAAAGGCAACGGGTTCAAAAGTTTTCGACTTTTGAAAACGCTCGGGGGGACACTTGTCGCCATTCGCAAACCGACGCACAGGAAACCGATGGGGGACCGCGAACTTCGAGTCGACCAAGCCGAAACGGATTCGCTAGACCACACGTCGGGCGGCGGGCATGTCTGGGTGCTGCCAACTGTCCGGCGACAACACGACCGAAATATCAAAGCTCACTGAACGAGCAACGTTGGCCGTCGGTTATTTCATTTGCCAAAGCACAACACAAAAGTGGATCCCAATACATCACCATTCACCACGAGTCTTCGCGGTCCGCTCGTTGTGTTCGGATTATTTCACCCTTCGATCGCGGCCACACGAATCCACCACCGCTGCGGACACCCGTCTTTCGTATTCCGTGCACATTCTCCAGTCCAAACGGTAAGCATGATTTGCGCGCGGCCGTGTCGAACTCGGCGGCACAGGAAATCATTTCTGTTTCGTCGTCCGGTCTTGTACGAAAAACATTTTAATCATTGCCGAAAAATATAATCATAATCGATACGGTATTAGCTGAATAGTAGAATAGTAGGTATCACCTGAACAAAAGGACCGTCTCTCTTACCGTAGGGCGCACCTACGCCGCTTTCAGTAGGGTTAGGCCGTAGGCCCAAGGGCAGTTCGAGGGAAAAATGTTTTGTCTTGGTCACATGATTTTTCAATTTTATGGAATTCCCAAAAATAGCTTTATATTTTATTTCGTTAAAATTGTAGAAAATTTAAAAGTAACACGACTTGGTGGACAAAACATTTTTTTGGCTTGGAAAACGATACATACAATAAAGGCATTAACCAATAATACTTTAAACAAATGCTTTTAAAGATGAAAATTATTTTTACTATCGATAAATAACCTTATGAACACATTTTCATATGCTCAAATGAATTAATTTTTAGAAAACCTTAATACATATATAACATAAATAAACAACTAAATAACATATACATTATTATTTCATTAAGATGTAAATACCTACTAATTATGTTATTTGGTTCTCCACTTGGTCGTTACTCAGATCATGTGTAAGAATCTATTTTTAAAAAAATTACCGATAACATTTCACAATGTACTTTTCACTGTATAAAATAACTGGTAGGTACTAATTATAGCTTAATTTATGAGTTTATAATTCATTATATCGAACTTTTTCTTTTACATTTTTTTTTTCTGATCTAAAAGTTTTGTAGTTTCTACTTTTATTTAAAATCTTTTGTTTTCAACAAAAGTATACAATCCAAACGATTTTACTAATAAGTGTTCAATAGCGCATTTTTGGGGGGGGGGGGTACACGGTCGTTATCGTTATTATTGCCTTATCTGAAATAAAAATAATAATAAAACGGTTTGGTACCGTGGTGTATACAAAATTTTTAATGCTAACAAATTGTTTATAAATATGAGCTCCCTCGACGATATTAACGATATAAACGTATATCGTGTCTATTAGCTAACGTAAACAGTTTCAAAACATGTTACACGACGACACGACGCGTCAATACCATTGTTAATATAATGAAAATAGATTTTCCACCGTCAAACGCAACGGCTAACAATAAAAGCATGGCTGTGTTCAGGGCCGACGTTACCTTTTGTGAGGCCCTGGGAAAAACTTATTTCACCCATAACTATAGTCTCACCTATAGCCTGTAGGTCGCAATTAAAAGCGATAACACGTAATCAGACTCGGTGACAGCTGCACACGATATCGGTTAATGAAATTTAAGATATGCGATAAAATAAATTTCCTATGTATTTCGGTTTCCATACTGTGCGGCGAGCCGTACGGGTCGTCGTTGATGCATACATTTGTGCATACATCTTAAATATAATATTGTTGTTTTGTCGATAGGTTTTTTATTACATGCCAACGGATTTCTCTAGAAATCGCACTTGCCAGACGATCCATACATTTCACGTTTTATTTTATGAGATTTCCGTACAAAATATTTCTCAATGAAAATTTTAAGCGCGAGGCCCTGGACAAATGTCCCGTTTAGCCTCCCCTTAACACCGGCCTTGGCTGTGTTCGTCAAAATGGTTATCTTTTATTTTAAACATATATATTATTTTTATTATTTTTAAAAGTTAAAAAAAAAAAAAAAGTCAAAGATTTAATTTGAATTGTAATTATAATAACATAATTAACTTTTTATTTTTCCTTTTTTAAGTTAAGCAGTGTTTACTATATAATATATATTAAGCTATAATATACTCAAAGTACAATATTTTTAATACATTTGATTTATCACTGGATCATTAAAATAAATCAAAATTATTTAATAAAATATATTTTCATTTTAAAATATGTCTATGTATGTTAAAACCTTCAAAATATGTGATATTATGCAAAATAATTTAATTTTTGAACTTGTTAGGTGGCGATTCAATTTAATTATATTTAAGTTATTTATCTAACTTTTTGGTGTATTCAATAAAAACATGCATTTACATAAACTTCCGGACCCTAATAATGACTAAGAACTGGCTCATTGTTTTTGAGTTTCTTTTCTAACATGGAGAAAATCTCTAGTACAAATACCCATACAAATTCCTATGACATTTAATATCTTTTACTTTTTCAAATTGAAAGCCTCAACACAGAGTTGTCTATGCAACAACCAAATAAGTCTGTTTAAAGGCATTTTCAGGATAGATATGGAACTGAATCAAATTTAAAAAGTAAAATTCCATTTTTAAATACTACAAATATTTTTATCAGGTGCAAATATTGCAACAACTTTTTTTTTGCGTTTGATATAAATCTTATATTCTCAACAATTGTATTAAAGTTAAAATATAAATTTTTTTTGTTTTTTTCTCATAATATTTGTACCTAATAGGTTAGGTACAAGTTTTATATTTATTTATTAATACAGACTAAAGTCCAATTTACAATATATTTGTATAGATAATATTAAGTTCTTTCTTATTTTTATAGTTCTACTACAAATCATTACTAATTGTATTTATTCCTTGAATAACATTCTCAACTTTGTTTAGGTTTATTGTTTGTTATATAATAACAATATATTATGTAGTTCACTATAATATAAGTAATTGTACACATAAAAAACTTTTTAAGCTAATAGTAAAAGGGTTTACTCAGTTACAAATGTATTTTAATTGAGTAAAAAATAATACGTGTAGGTACATTAGATTTTAAATTTAAAAATCTTGCTCTATATTTTATAACTCATGTAATCTTCAAACTTGATTATAATCTAAACTTGTTACAATATAAAAAAAAAACTTTATAAGTACCTAGATTGAAGTATGATCAAAACAGACTAAGGTTAACTTAGTAATAGATAGTAATAATAAATTAGTTGGTATCTAATATTCATATAATAATTCAGCATCAATAGTCTAATTTACAGTCTCTGCCATAATATCTTACACTTTTAAAATATTGCATAAACAATAATTATATTTATTCAATATATTTTTATCCATATTTTTAAAAATATAATTTAATGTTATAAAATATTAATATTCTACTTAATTTTTATATACATTATACATATACAAAATATATAGACTTACCCAATGTTTCACTAAACGATCCTTCATTTTATCTTAGTATTAGGTCAAAAACTTGATCTATTTAATGTTTTGAATGAAACATGTATTTCATTAATTAATTTTATCTTAGAATAAAACTTAATTTTTTAGTTTATATTTTTAAAACATCAATTAATAATACAATGATATCTTAGTTTGAAAAATATTATTATTTTTAATTAAAGTAGTGTTAATTATAAAACACATATATAATATAACAACATATATTTAACTACTTTATCGGTTGATCTTATTTATAATTTTATATTTGATTTTTGATGAGTATTAATGTCAATTATGTTTTATTTTATGAGTATATTTCATTTTTTTTTCTAGAGCAATTTATTATTCAAAATAAAGCCGATTGCCATTTAAAATACATGAGCTGCACAAATTAATTCTATGCTGTAATTATAACAAACGTAAATTTTTATAATTAAATTTTTAATCTCGATTAAAATCATCGAGTTCATTAATAATAAGTGTTGTTTTTTAGGTAATTCTTTTAGTCGTCTCCAAAAATTAAGCACATCTTGAATCATTAAAGTTTGATATTTATTATACCAAAGTCATTATGTGGTCCCTAATTAAATTAGCATATTACGCTTGCAATGAACCAGAGAAATATTGGTATAACACTAAACCAAATAATGTTGTAAAAGTAAATTTGGAATCTTGTTGCCACGAAATAATAAAAGTCATCAAAGGGCGTAAGAAAAAATATTTAATGGATATAGAGTTGTGCAGCATTGCTTCAAATAATGGTCATTTGGACTGTTTAATGACTGCTCATCAAATGGGATCTCCATGGGACAAAAGAACATGTTCAATTGCTGCAAGAAAGGGCCATCTTTATTGTTTACAATATGCCCATGAAAACGGGTGCCCTTGGGATGCTAGTACATGTTACAGCGCTGCTAAAGGTGGACATTTACATTGCCTAATATATGCCCACAGTAATAATTGCCCGTGGGACGAATATACATCAAATTGGGCTGCAAGTGGTGGCTATTTAGACTGTTTAAAATATGCTTATAGAAATGGATGCCCTTGGAACGAAAAAACTTGTATGATGGCAGCTTACAATGGACATTTAAACTGTTTAAAATTCGCTTTTAATCATGGATGTCCATGGGATGAACAAACGTGTACATGGTCTGCTAGAAAAGGTCAACTAAACTGTTTAATATTTGCCCATAAGAATGGATGTCCTTGGGATGAAAATACGTGTACAAAGGCTGCAATAGGTGGACACTTGCAATGTTTAATGTATGCTCATGATAATGGATGTCCTTGGGACCAAAATGTATGCAATTTTGCTTCCGCTAACGGACACTTGAATATTTTGAAGTATGCGCATAACAATGGATGCCCATGGAACGAAAAAACTTTGTACGAGGCTGCAATAAATGGTCATTTGCACTGTATCGAATATGCCCATACGCATGGATGTCCATGGGATAAAAAAACATGCAATGGGGCTGCCAATAGTGGTCATTTGAATTGTTTACGATACCTTCATGAAAATGGTTGTCCGTGGGATGAGTATGTGATCTACATGGTTGCAAAACAAGGACATTTGGACTGCATGAAATATGCCCATGAAAACAAATGTCCATGGCATGAAAGTACTTGTTATTTGGCAGCAGTGGGACGACATTTTGAATGTTTGAAATATGCTCGTAGAAATGGTTGTCCGTGGGATGATGTAACGAAAAAATGGGCCATCGAATATGGGCAATTTGATGATTATTTATAACATACTCATAACAGTCTTAACTAAAGAGTGAGGAGCTATTTATACAATTGACAAGTTTTTACAACCATGCATATCATTTTTTAGTAAGATTAATTTTGGTTTACAACCTGAACTTTTCTATTTGCTAATTTTTTTTTTGCATTTTTGAGTTAATGTTTCATTATGATGTTGTAATATTTGACTTTTGACTATTGCCATATGGGAGATATGAACTAACTTTTCATTTTTTTTTTATTCCTTTGTCAAACGCCAGTTAAACATTTCATAAAACTTGTTTTAAAATTGTATCTGCCTATAATAAAACTAGTTATGAAATTAATACAAATCTCTCTTAATTATTTTATTCCTCCATAACAAACCTATGAGTAATGTAATTTAATTGGAATAATAATGAATTAAACAATATTGTAAGAATCATTACCAAAACTAATTTATATTTTTACTACTTTTCGGTACTAGTATTTCCTAAAACTAGTTCCTAATTATAACTATGAATTTAATTTTTTTTATTGAATTTACTTCCAAATTCAAATCAGTTATTTAAAATATGGTATTAGAATATTATTGTTAATTTTCAATATCTTAATATTATCAATGAACATTATAAATTGCAAAGTTCCAGAAAACGTATTTAAAATAATATAGGTGTATTTATAATTTATTTTACATTAATGAATATGTATTTATTGGTTTTTTATAAAAAAAATTCCTAGTATAAGTACACTATAAATTAAAAATTATCCTAAAAGTTTTAAATAATATTTTTATAATATTTTTATTTATTTTATTTGTCTATTTAACGAATTATAAAATAATATTATATTAACATTTATACGTGTATTAGTCATAGTTTATAAATTTGTGAATCCTTTCTAACAGGGTATGACTTATATAATTTTTAAATACTCATTTGATGTTTAATAATATGTTTACATATATTTAAAAATTAAAATTTTAAATATATTTAATCTATGTATTTATTACATATGTATCTAATATATTTAATCTATGGTCATAGTTACTTTGCATTTGTAGGAATTGGTATTACACCGTGATTACGCTCGTACATGTAACTGTTTGCGTTTATAATAGTTTGATTTTACAAGTAAATCCAAAAATTATGGCGACTAAAAAAAGAATAATTTGTGATGAACATCGTTTTTTTAATAATTCTTGGGTTGATTTATACTTTTTCGACGAAAACAAAGGTAAGCTATTATGTTTAATTTGTCAAAAAATTAAATTTTTTCTTAAAAGCAATTTTTTCCATTATCTAACATTCGTATTTTTTACACTTTTTGTAACCTTTTTGTATTGTTTTAAATGTGAACATCAGGTTCATAATCGGCATAATCTATTCTCTGAAGTGTCTGTCGTCGCTAATAATCGACCCACGACCGCTCTGGACGGTTGTGGTTAAAATACACTTTTTGGCGTAGTGGGAAAAATCGGCCGTCGTCACAATGGCAAGCAGGTTAGCATGTTTACGCAAAACAAACGAATAGTTATTAAAAAGTGGTTTCAGAGTTAAAACACTTATAATAAATTTTATAGTGAACAATATTTTGGAGGGAATCTCATCGGGGTTTTGTATTAATCTAAATATACAGATAGATATTAAAGGCACAAAAAATCCTTTTATTTTTTTAACATTTTTTAAATAATTGTAACTTTTTTAATAGTTATTATTTAAAAAAAACACCTATGTGGTTTCCTCCGAAATATTGTTCTCTATAAGTTACATAATAAATATTTTTATTCTAAAACCACTTTTTGATGGCGTTTTGAATAACGTTGTCCTGATCTCGTCTAATCATCAACCGATATGCATAATAATCTTTCGAATTACCATTCTTGTTTGTTTTGGCACCTGTTGCGGGATCTTGTTGTTTAATATTTATGTAATACCCGTCATTTAATACCAAAAATAAAATTAGTTTAAAATAGTTTTTTAAAAATATCTTTTAATAATTAATTTTCAATTACGCAGTTATCGGCCTAGTCAAAAATTATTAAATTAAACAATAATTTATTAAATAATAGTACTTGGGAGTATAAAAAAAAATAGATAAAAACCTATTCATAGACCTACCAAATGTATATACAAAATTTCATTAAAATCAGTTTAGCCGTTTTGGGGTAGTATGGTCACAAACACTGTGACCAGGCCAGTAGCCAGGGCAAATCTTCAGGTGGGGCAAACAAAATTGTAGGGGGGCATTATAAAAAAAATCAATATTAATGAAATTTTTAATTTATTAATACTGTTGTAATTTTTTATAATAGGTACTTTAAATTAAAATAATAAGAATTAGAATAAAGTGAACATAATTACATTTTGAATATTTTTATAATATATTATTTTTTGAATTTACCAATTTTTTTTAAACTAAAACAATTGTAATTTTCAATTTTTTTGCTTGTTGAATTCCATTAATAATATATCCAAATTTAGGATTTTAGGATCTAATGAAATGGTGAATGTTATCGGTTCGATATGTTATATTTATTGTTCGGTATTGTTGTCAGACATCAATCAGATGCCATCGTATTTTTCAGTGCAAATGCTATACAATATTGCTAAAAATAATTTCTTATATTAAACAGTGCTTCTACTGCCGATGAAATTATTATCAAGCAATAAATTATATTATATCTAACTACCACGGCTGTAGATAGTAAAAACCTACTATCTACAGTCATACTAACTACCAAATGTCATGACATTATTAACTTTTGTTGGGTGGGGGGCAACGCCCCCTTTTGCCCCCCGTGGCTACGGGCCTAACTGTGACATGATATTTTTATATATATAGATAGATATATTTGCGACACGTCGTGATACTAACGTTTATCAAATAATAAAAGAGTTGAGACCCGAACGGTGTGCCAGCACCACCCACTGCGAGTATTGGGCGTGGCTAAAACGTGGGGTGCTAGCGCATCATCAAAACACTTAATAGCGCATTCTCTAAGCAGTTAACATTTTGGCTCTTTTCAAGTTTCCAGTGTTATTTTATATAATACCTGATGTGATACGACTTAGATCTGACTCAAGTTGTCTAATTAGATGGCCATAATATCGTAATATTTGTATTCAATATAATTACTTTGTATTCATAATCAGTATTATGTTTTAATATTATTAATAATAACTTTTTTATACCTATATTAAACTATGTTTTCTATTTTAGAATGAAAGTACACTAGGATATTGTCATATTCTTGAATTCCAAAGACTACAGTTTAGTGCCTACAAAGTGGCTTGTTCAAAACGATACTCATAATTTATTAAAACAGTATAGTTCAGTGTTGTTATTGGCCACTCGATTGAGTAACCAGTACAACTAACACACAAAATAATAAAATATTTGCTTTGTAGCCGTAGTTTTATTTTTCAATTTTATTTCTGCACTACCGGTAATAACAAAGTAATTGTAATCACTACTCTCGAAGAATTTGTATTCATCCATTAAAACGACATTATTATTGGATCATATAAAAGTAAGTACACTATTGTATTAACAAAATGATCACTTTTCACGTTATATATATATATACAAACGATCTACACGTAATAACGTACTATGTGTACATTAACGGTGTTAATAATTTTAATAAATTTAAATATATTTTATCTTACTACGTACTATGTGTACATAGTAAGATAAAATATATTTAATACTGATTTTTTTGAGGGATTTTATCAACAGTGTTTCATCGGACAACACATGTCGACCAAAATTTCCAATATCTTTGGATTTTCCAAGCTTGAAAAGTTGACTGAAAGTCCTACAAATTTTTTAGGAACAACGTTCTCTGGATATTCATGTTTACCACTACTTGTTACTATGTAACCATTATTTAGTGGTAATTCTGAAGGTGTTTGATTGTTTGATTTGGAATTTAATTGGGACATTATATCGTCAAAAAGGTAATTAATACGTCTTAATTCCTTAATCTGTTAATCACACATTATTTCCAAATTTCTAATATCATTTCTAAAATATTCTTGCTTTTGTAAACGTAAATTTTCTTTGCAGCTTGTCTATTGTATTCAAATACAAATAAACCAGCAGCAACAGAAAATAAAAGAACTTCACCCAGTAGATTCGACCAAAGACTTTATTTGGCCAGGCATAATTCACCATCTTTCGTGTACCAACGTGCGTGCTAATGATGCGTCCCCAGACTGCGGACCAACATGACTTTAAACGCCGGCGGGTTCGGTCGCTAGGCCATCGTCCGTACGTGCGCCGGAGACCCCGTTTCATTTTTATTGCGCCAAACGTGGTTTTTCGTGAGATCACACCATTAATTCATGCGCACGTTAGACTCCTTTGTTCGTGTTTCAAGACGGATTGGAAAGTAGCTCGAAACTCGTCGTCGACCGACGGGACCGCACTTGCGACGGGGACACGTTGACGGTTCTTGTCGTCGGGCAAGCCGACCAGGAGCACCAGTAATTCGTGAATTCGCCCAGCTGGGACTCGCCAGCAGTTCCAATGTCCATGAAATACCTGTTGCTCTTAACCTCGGCCCAATTATAAAATTGAGCCGGTGGTATACACTTATACGTTCTAAATACGGGTGACCGTTTTACGCCTAGTTTAATATAATCAGAAATCGATTTACTTATATGACGCAATAGTAAAGCGGTTATAGTCTGTCCGGCGATTGTTAACATTGTTATTGAAAATCAGTGGCCTAGGAAATTTAAAAGAATTATGATCGAAAGTGAGATCTATACGTGGAGCATATAATAATTCTTTTAAATGAGAAGATATAGCATCTAAAACTTCTTCCAAGAAACAGCTTATACTATAAGTACCGAAGAACTACTTGCAATTTTATTGCTGCAGGAATAGCTGTTCTCATAGTTGTAATTTGCTTTTGTATAATAGGACCAACCTAAAACAAAATTACAAATTATGAACTTTTTTGTATTATAATAATAAATTATTTTCTTACTTTTTGGCATAGTTCATAGTACATGGCATAATCAACCCGAAGAAAGTTACAAAATTACCTGGGATCTTCAAAATAGAACTCCTTTAGTAATGTTCCTAATGCACCTAAAGTATTCCTTCTACTTATCCGTTTTTTAACCCAATATTCACGTTTTTTGTTTTTTTTTTCAATTTCAGAACAAGTATTTGTTCAAAAACATCTGCAGCTACGTTTAATACATAATTATTGGCCATTTTTATTATATTTATATTAATATTATAATTTTATGACTGTGACCACATCGGAGTTAAATAAAAACGAGTTAGATTAAACTAGGTAGTAGTAGTGTAGTTATTATATTGAGCGTGAGTGCTGCAATGCTACGGCACTGGTTTGAATAAAACACAACACTTGACATTGTGGCATCAAACTTTGAACAGTGTCACGCAACTTAGTGTCACGGTGTTAATGACACTTAGGGCCGGTTTCACCATTAAAGAGTTAAAGTTGAGATTAATTAACTCTGAGTTTATCAGTAACCCCAAGTTATCATTATTTCAGTTTCACCACCAGTTTATAAATGGAAGTTAGTAAATCTCAGGTTAGCTAATTAATTTCTGGTATTAACCAGGATTCCCTCTCATTTTCCACTGATAGCATTGATAACACCGCTCATTGAATTGATAACGCTGAAAACGTTAACCCTTTCAGACCCAAATTAATTTCTTATAGAGATAAAAAAAATTTTATTGCTTATTTATTTTACTATGGACTATAATAAGAGTAAAATGTTTTAAAAAAAATTTATTTTTAGATTTTGACGAATTTAGGAGTATATCCTCTATAGGGGACATTGGGTCTGAATGGTTACAAAAAAATTAAAATTAAAATTATCATATTAAATTTTAAAATGTTTCAATAAGTATAATAGCAATATAATGTAATGAAAAAATATTATTTTTATTATTTAAATTATTATTCGCGGTCTTCGTTGCATCGCAATAATGATGTCGTCGTTATCGCTCTCACTCTCGTCATCAAATAATATTCTACGATACATTATAATAGTATCTTCACAGGCAGAAAAATTGTATGCAAAAACGAAATATTCAAATACGATACACAATAATCATTTTTGAAAGCAAAAAATATGTTAACAGTGATAACATGTTTTAATATTGTTGTTTGAACTAAGAGTTATCTTTTAACACTCAAAAATATTAGGAGTTAAAATCTGGGAGTTAAGATTTTCGATAACTTGATGTTACCCCTTAACTCTAAGTCGTGAAATTATTTTTTTGAGTTAACCTTGAGTTATTGGTAACTTGCACTTTAACTCTTGTTGGTGAAACCGGCCCTTAGTGTCATCGTGTGAACGAACCTTTACATCACTGTCGTTAACGTTATGCGTACGACTACCAGTACAGTATAAGTAATTTGTTATTGCGTTTTTCTTATTAAAATTCATTTTAATTTTTTTCAATTTTACACTGTCAAGTAAAGCTGCAATTAAAATTAATGACAATCATTATTAATATATTATCAGCTGTTATTACAAAATGGCAATAACTGCTATTTATCACTGCTATTTTAAAATAGCAATAACATTATCAGATGTTATAAAAAGAAATAGCAGTTTCCCAGTGTGCAAATGCGTGACACTAACTTCGCTATCACGTAGATTTTGAGTTCAAAATTTAATTTCACATAGTAACGGATATGTTACGTATGTAATACGTACGTATTGGTAAAGTTATAGCAAAGCAATTTAAAAATTAATTCTGTGGTTACCTTACTAAATTAATTTGCATGCAATGTTTAATGTTGTCATAACATGGAACTTAATTTACACTTAAATGTTACTTGTGAGTTTAATGATTTGTATTTAATATTACAATTGAGATGTTAATGGTATATAAATAATTTACTTCCGTGTAAAGTTATAGATAGGTATCAAATGTGACATTTTTGAAAACGTCAATAACCACCTAAAAATGCGCCACTGGCAGTTGATCGAATTAATAAAACACGCGTTTTTAAATTAAAAACAATATAATTTAAATGGTGTCGCGACTATTTTGTGTTGAACATGTCTGGTGGCTCGAAAAGTAATACTCGAAATATTTTTGTATAATTGACATTATTTTGTATCATTATATCAAATTTATTTTAGGCCCGGTGCACACCAGCGTTTTTTTTTTAAGTGCAATTTCCCTTGTGATATTGTAATTATGATTTGTTTGGTTTACCCAGAATGGATTTTATAAATATATAATTAGTAATAAAAATATATAAAAACATTTATAAAATTTAAATTCATGTTAATAAAATAATAAATAAATTATTAAAAAATATTATTAATAATTATGATTTATGGAACATAAATTCATCATTTAAAACGTACATTATAAAAAATGTTGAGTAATTGTAGTAATTTTTAGTACTTTTGATGTAGTTTTTATTAATTATTTTTTGATGTTTGAAAGTCATTTTAAGCAATTTTTTTGTGTGTATTTTTTAAATATTTTCAGGTTATCAAGTTCTGGACCTTGGTAATTACTAATTACTAGAGCTAGGATTTAGATGCACTTTGCATTGTTTTCCAAAGTTTACTGTGCGATGCTCGAATTGTATTTTTGAATGAGTATAAGAAAGTTAGTATTTTGAATTTTTTAGTTTTTTGTCATTTTCTTAATTTTTAGGGTACCTTCACACGTAGCCACTTGGCAGCGCGTCTTAGCAGAATAATTTTTAGAGGACCGTCAGTGGCGCTGCTCATGTTTTTAGAAACGCGTTAGTGGTGCTGCTCATATTTTTAGAAACATAATTAGTGGCACTATGAATGTGTGTCGGTAAACAGTTTGTGAAGACAAAAACATACCACATCAGTCTCAAAATGGACATGGAAACTGAATTATTGCTGGCGATGTTATTAATTAAAAAAATGTAAAAATACACCAAGAAGATTCTGGGTACATCCACTGCTTCTAGAAAGACCGAACAGAGGATTATTTAATACACTATTTGATGACATAGAAGATAATGAAAAATGTTTTTTATATTTTCGTATGTCAAAAAATACATTCAAAGAACTTTTATCTGGTATCAAAAATAAAAAATTAAGAGCTATTGACAGCACTCGGAATGATCAATAAAGACTGATATTAAAATAATAATTGAACTCGTTATACGGATTAATCGCAATACTAACGCGCTGCCGACGCGCTGCTGACCAACTACAAAAATAAACGCGCGGTTGTGGTTGCGTGTGAAACCCCCAATCTAAAAACACGTTCTGTCTCGAGAACTTTTAGACGCAGCGTTTTGTGGCGAAGTCAACCACTGACTAGCGCTTCAGATCAGTGGCTGTGGTCGTGTGTGAAACCGTCCTTATGCCAGTGGCGGCGCGTGAACAATTTTATAGGGTAGACAACAAGACAACCAAAGATATGGTGTTATATAACATTTATTTAAAAACTAGATCATCATAAAAAAAGTAAATTACATAAAATAATTATATTTGAATATAATTTAAATCGATTCTCCTATTTTGTTTTGTCGCGAATACATCTATTACATTGTTGATAAACGTTGGATCTTTTGATAATTCACCTAACATTTTTTTTTCAATAGCTAAAGTAGACAAAGATGAAAGCCTATCATTTGTCATTGAATTTCTTAAAAAGGATTTGATACATTTTAAAGTACTCATGGATCTTTCACTTGAGGCTGTTGTTGCAGGAATAGTTAATACTAATTGAATAAGTTTCGTGACTTCTTGATATACTTCTTGAAGCTCATCTAAAATAATGTTTATAATTAAAATTATAATTTATTTTAAAAATTATTAAAAATATTTAAGAAATGTTTTAGGTTCTTACTTTTAAATATAAAATCAATAAATTCCAAAGGAGCGAAATATTTCAATGGATCTGCATATATTATGTAAAGCTCATTTTTTAGACGATCTTTATCAAAAATATCTGGATAGTATTTAAAAAGTTGTCTTAATTTTTCTTCTGGAAAATGAACTTTATATGATGCAAACATTTTTTCATTTATTATTTCAACAAACTCTAGTTTTTCAAAATCTTTAAATCTAATATTTATTTGAACAATTAATGAATCAATAATTTCATACGTAAGTCTACGTAAATTAGATCCTTCCTCATTTGTATACTTTAAATCTGTGTTTAATTCAACAGAACATTTTATGATATCGTGTATGGAAGTTTCATTTCTCAAATCTTTTATCCGTGAAGTAAGACTTTTAATTTCGTTAACACAATATTTAATATCAGTAGTTGATTTATTTTGTAGAATACAAAATGTGTGATCAGTAAATATAAATATTTTACTGAAAAGTACCAATAAGTAAACAAATTTTCGATTGTTCATAATACTCAATATACCAGATGCAGTACAAACAGAATTGGAATCCCAGCCAGGGTCATCAACTACATGAGATACGGCATTTTTTAGTTCATTGAAATGAGTTTTTATAGTTAAAGCAGCTCTTGAATGATAATTCCAACGTGTATTGCATTGATTTGGTAATTTAAATCCTTGCTCTCTTAATAAAGAACTTCTTTTAGAAGATCTACTAAAAAATGTGTGGAACATAGTAAGGTTTGCTATAAATAATTTAACATCTTTTATTGATTTTGCGCCGTGAAGTAGAACTAAATTCAATTGATGAGCGTAACAATGTATAAAAATAACCATTGGATAAATATTTTGTATAATTGACTGAACCCCATTTTTTTCACCAGCCATAACAGAAGCACCATCATATGTTTGATACACAACTTTTTTACCAATATTCCACTTTGAAAGTTCATTTAGAATTACTTCGGATAAACCAGCCGCAGTCTTATTTTTGGAAACATCAAAAAATCCTATAAATCTTTCTTCGATCTTATTGTCCAGAATATAACGAAAAATTAAACTCATTTGAGATTGGCATGATACATCCGTAGTTTCATCGGCTTGTATTGATATAAAATTTGTAATTTTTAGTTCTTTTAAAATATGAGAATTTAATACCGTAGTTACGCAATGGATCAAGTCATTTTGTATGTCATGTGAAGTTCCTTTAAAAACAGAATTTATGCAAAAGTGTTCTCTTATAAATTGCTCTTCCTTAGCAAGTAAATCTAAAATTTCACAATAATTTCTTTTATTTAAAGAACCTTCATTCTCGTGATGTCCGCGGAATGCCAATTCTTGTTTCCCTAAAAAACAAACTACATCGATTAAACGAGCTAATATCTTTCTGTTTATGTCCACTTGTTTATTATGATTAATTGCAGTTAACCGACGACTCTCAGATATTGAATGTTCAATCCTATTTTTACCCAGCATATGAAAACTTTCCTTGTTAGTCAGATGTTTTTTTGAAATTTGGTGTTTTTCAGCTTTACGAACTAAATTTTTAATATTAGGAATGCTATTTATACTCCACTCATTCTCTCCTCTGAACAAGACACATATGTAACAGAATAATTTATTTCTTTCAACGCTTCCTGCTAACCAGTTAAATTTTGAATACCAAGACAATTGAAATTTTCTTAAAGTTTTTGCTTCTTTATATTCTAATGATAAATGTGGCGTTGGTCTCTTACCTTTTAAATTGCATTGTTCTTCATACGAAAAAGAACCAAGACCTTTATTTAAAATAATATCAATAATATCTGACATATTAAGTTTTAAATGTATATCACTTCATTAAGAAAAAATAATAAACATTAAACACGTGCCATTAATCATTAATCACTGTTGGAATGAAATTAAATTATAAAAATATTACGTTGAGACATGTCTCTTCCATACATATAATTTTGGTAATATCCCACTACGTTCCCCGTTTATCATATCATACGCCCGTCATCAATAGTGAGACACAATTCAATATGTCTCGACCGATTTGACGGCGACGACGTAGCGATTACGGTATAGATAAGATATAAATAAAATTATACTTATTAATAATATATATTTAGTCACACTCGTTACTCACACAGACACACTATAGAAACGAATCAGTGTAAATAACATTTTATTTATAAAATTATGAAGAAATAAAAGACTTATATAAAATATTAGCATATAATAAACAACTCATTTTTAAAATTAGAATATTTGATATTTTTGGGTAGACAATGTTTCATTGTCTACCCTAACGCGCCGCCACTGCCTTATGCGTTCGTATTTTTCCATTAGCAGCGCTGCTAAGAAGCGCTGCCGAGTGGCTACGTGTGAAGGCGCCCTTAGAGTCTTTTAGAGTATTTTTTTATCATTTTTTGAGTCTTTAAATACAAAATATGAATATATTTCAATAAAGGTACATTATAAATTATAGAAATATTATAAATAATTTATTTATATTTATTTAGGTACCCGTGTTACTTATTTATTTTCTCGCCATTCACGTAAAGATGCTATGTATAAGAATACAATTATTTAAGGTTTTCTTCGACCAAACTTTAGTGTTGGACATCTGCACAAACGATTTGTGTACAACAACGGTTTAGTTAGGAAATTGGATGTCCGTAGGAAAGGCTTGCTTAATGTTTTGAGCGATTTTCCTGATATGGTGAAAAAATTGACAAAAAAAAAAAAAAAGTTTCGCAGAAATCGTTATGAAATACGATCAGTCGACGGATTGCGAAATGATTTGCATTGCATCTAGAAGAGACACGTGTATGTTAAAAAGTGAATGTTCGTCCAAGGTAAACAAACAATGATAATTAACCGTTTATTGACGAGAGAACGCAATTAAAATATATCTATATTTATGTACATTTTACAATGTTCGTGTACGAACGCAAGGGAGGAATTCTAAGGGATCGCGGTGGACGCGGTCAGTGCGCGGGCGTGAACGATCCCGGGATCACGTAGCGGTGCTTGGCCGGTGCTCCGTCTTCGTCGCTGTAGACGGGCGCCGGGGCGGACGTTGGCTTGCCGTTGTGCTCGCCATAGTCGAACCTGTACTCGGGCTGCTCGGCGGCGGCGTGCTTGTGCTCCGGCTGGATCTTCTTCACCTCGGCGCGGTACCCGTGCTCGTCGTCCGCGGTGTACTCGACCACGCGCGTCGAACCGTCCGCCTCCAGCAGGCTGTACGTGCCCCTGACCGTGCCGCGGCCGTCGCTCACCTCGTTCTGGCTCTTCACGTCGCCGGTGACGTCGTCGTGCACCGCGTACTGGAAGTGATACGACCGGGGCTCGTGTTGCTGTTCCTCCTGCACGTGTTGTTCGCCTCCGTAGTGCTGCTGCTGCTGCTGCTGCTGCTCGTAGTGCTGCGGCGACAGTCCCTGTACCGTGTACGGCATCGCAGTGGCCGGACCGGCGGAGGTCATCGCGTAAACGGCGACGAAAACGACGTACGACTGTAATCCATTATCGGTACGAAAAACCCAACCGTGTTAATTTTCGGCAAATCATTATAGATTCAGGGAACGGATTTTTATGCAACCTCGATGATATGGTTCTAAGAATACTTTAATATGCTTCGAGTCGTACGTTTATCATTGAACGTGATCGTGAAATTTAATACTATCGGAAAAAGTGGTTATGTCGAACTCGGTTTGGAATTCGAAAAATCCTAACAACTTTTGATGCGGTGTAGAGAACCACCGATTCAAATTGAACTCGAAGTTTCGACCTAAGCGAAAATTACGAATCTAAAATTTTCATTCGAACTTGACGTGTTGAATTCTATGAGAATTGAAAACAAAAATGTTGCGAGTATAAATTATAAAAAATAAATTATACCCGATCGAATTTAACACTCGAGCTATGTTCGAAATTAATTTCAATTGTTCAGTATGATATCCGTCGACTCTCCTCCAATTCCTACATTTTTAAATTGTATTTAAAAAAAAAAAAAATTCTATGCTACAAGAAAATGAATTTCCGATTTCATTTTTTAAACGAACATAGAGATTGGTTTACCGCAGAAGCAGTTTCTCATTATAATTTACATAAAAGTATACTAATACTAATGTTGATACAGGTATTTAACTCACCTTAGCAGCCATTGTGTGGATTTTCCTGTTGGACATTGACTAGTAAACCTATTTTTCGCCGTTTCTCGTCGACTGATGATGGCCTTATCTTCCGCGTACTATTTATACGCCCATCGTTATGCCCAGATGGATTCCTCCCACGCCTGAAGAAGCTTTCCTAAAGATATAGTCGTATAACCGACCACCGTGTCTCGGACTATGAACACGGATTCTTCGTATTGTCTATAACGGTAGTAATATAATATTTTGTGATACACCGACTTCTACAATTGTTCTTTATTAATGTTTTAAATATAATTATAAAAATACTTTATATATTTCTTGACAGCAAATCACGTGACATGTGGAATTATTTAATTTATTTTGTTACTTTGTTTTTATCTTGCGGTCGAATAATTGTAAACCGTACGGCTTATTTTATAATAAAATTAATAAGTAATAACCAGGGCTCATAACTTATAGCATTTATATTTTTTTTTTTTTTGAGAGGTCCTAGAAATACCTAAGCGAGTTATACATTTGTTTTAGATAACTAAGAAGCTAAATGCGAAATTTTATGTTGCATATTTTTGCATATTTCAAAGTATAAGTGCTATTTTGATTTTTTTCTATTTTTTAGACTTATTCTTGCATATTTAGAAATTGTTATTTGCTATTGCTTAAGTCTTTTTCAGTTCCGTAGTATTTAAAACATTTTTTCTTAATGATAAAAAATAATTATAGAAGTATTCATTTTTATATTTGTAATTAATTCATGTTAATTAACTAATTCTTCTTCTTTAGATTTAATTTATATATTTATTTGTTTCATATAGCGATGCGATCGGAATATTAATAATAAGAGCTTAAATTTTTTTTTATATATATGATATGTTTTTTTAATAATAAATGAAAATTGTGTTTTTTACATGATATATTTTTTTTTGTATATTTTTGTATTTTTAGTGCATATTTAAGCGTTTATATGAATATTTTTAAGAGCATATTATAGCGCTTATAACTATTTTTTTAGAGCTATAAGTTATGAGCCCTGGTAATAACTATTAATATTAATTGTAATACAAGTAAATTTCAATCATGCAAGTTTCTTAGTAAACTATAAAATATAATTAAAATCTGTCAACTTTATTATTCGTGGGTTGATCTAGTTTACTATGCTTCAGTGGCATCCACCGGTTTTCCGTGAATCAATGCAGTTATAACTATAGGGACCTCTAATGTATTTCAGTCTATATTCATATTCACGTAATTTTTGAATACTATAACTTATTAGTTGTAATGCACTATAGTATTATAATACATAACGTTTATCATTTCATATTTTTCATGTTTCCTTTGAATAAATTTAAAAATATTACAAATCCATTGCTTCAGAGTGGGTTTCCCAAATATAGGTAGGCCTCAAAACCCATGTGAAACTAGTGCAATTGTACTACGTGGGCGCTAATGCTAGGCTTAGGCTTACATATAATTAGAATCTTTCAAATATATTCTTCTGAAACTGCACTTTCTATGGATGATTTTTAATTGAAAAAACTATAATATGTAACATTTTAGAGCAAATCGTTAACACGAAAATGTAACTTTTAAAACCAATACATTTCTAGCTCGTTAAGAAAATAAATTTTATTTTGACTACTATCATTGTCATTTAGGTTATATTAAATATCATTATTTTTGATTTGTATATTTTATAGAGTTAGTATATTATGTTAGTTTAAAATAATATTTATTTCAATTTAAAAAGGTTCTTCTTAGATTAATAAATGGTATTTGATTAAAATAATATTGCAATATTAAATAAATCTAAATACATTTTTCAATTAAATCAATTAAATGTGACGAGCAATAAATTCGTTTTGATTAAATAATTTAATTAATATTGCGATAAACTATTCTTATATTTATTATATTTTCTTATAATTAAATAAAATATTTTCTTAATTATTTTATTAAACATAATTTTAATTTTTTGTTTTTGTTTTATGCTGAAAAATTAAATTGAAAAAAAATCTGACAATAAGTACGAAATTCATATTAAATAATAAATTACTAGTTATTCCTATCTTATTTTTATCAATGAATCTAATTTAAGGTACAATCGTTGCGACTTTTTAAATGTTTAATAATATCGAAAAGTATGCGTAGGATCATATTGCAATCATTGTATGGATCACGAAAAATAATTATAGAATTCATAAGCTTGCAAGTATGTCATAAATTACTAACCAAGCTATATAACAAACTATATATAACTATATAACAAACTTTTAATATTCTAACATTTACATAAAAATTTTATAAGTTCTTCTTATTCATAAATTAATATGAATCCCAACTGTAATTACTTATTATTATGGGCAAACGTAAATTGCGCCCAATGAAGGGAAACAATTGTAAATTGCGCCCGGTATTTTTCAGGTATAAAGTTTTGTGTAGTAAATTGTGCTCTGTATTTTTCAGGTACAAATTTCTGTATAGTAAATTGCGCCCAATAGAAATAATATTTTTGTGACAGTCATTTAGTCATCACCCAGAGAACACCACGAGCAGGCGACTATCGCTGTCCTCCAAAAATATTTTTTTAGTTTACTTGATATGAATAAATGAATTAATAAAAATATGAAAATTAATTTTTTTTTTTTAATATCATGGTATTAATTAGGTATAGTTTTTTTTTTAAATATTTTTGTTAGGTTAAACATTTTAATAATAAAAAATACAGTGATAAGTTATCTGCATAGTAATGAGACATCATCTTCACATATTCAGCCCTCATAATAGTGTTTTCATTGTACTTTTGAATAAATTTGTGTTTTTAAATTTATAAGGTTCATTTATACTATTAATTTTTATATAAATTTCAGATTGTAACTCTAATATTTTATCCATAAAATTATAAATATGAGGATGAGGTGTATAAAAGCTTTTATTAAAATGACTGTGAAAAGATTCACAAGCATTAGTTGTCCGAATTAATGTTGCGGAAGCTGATGCCCAAATATTCGGAGGAAAGTCAGTGAATAAAATATACGTATTTAAAATATAGCGAGAAAATTGTCTAAATCGATTATCTTCAGGTATTGTAGGTATTAATTCATAGTTAAAATAATCGCAAACATTTTCTGGCTCTAAAAATACCAGGTAATAATGAATTCAATGTCACTTTGATAGTAGATACTATGGGCGCAATTTACTATACTCATTTTAGATCCCGAAAAATCCCGGGCGCAATTTACAAACGCCCATTATTATAATAGGCTCACATAGTTATATCATGTTAAATAATAATGGAACGATACAATTTTCTAATATCATTAATATTAATATAATATCTCAATTCCCTAATTATACGTAAGTGCTACGGGTGTACAACAATTATTATAATGTAACTTTAAAAAAAATGTTTCGCATACATGTTACCTATAGTATTATGTTTTAAATGTTTTTGCTATGTGATTAAATTTTTATAAAAAATCTGATTTTTATTTGGACGATTAATTTAATGAGATTCGAAGTAAAAATAATAAATAGTATCATGTAAGATATGCATGTAAGCATGTTACAGTATCATGTAGGATATGCATGTAAGCATGTTACATGTTTAATTACTGTTGCGCTTTTTAATTTTTTCATCATTGGAACTTTCTTTAATATCATACATTTTATGTTTGCTAAATTTTATCTTTAAGCACTCAAGAGTTTGCCCAGTGATTATCTGGTTTGTGATTAATCTAAATAGTAACACTCATACAGAAATTTAAACGTATGTTCGAGTACATACATATATGAAAAAACATTTTTAATTTGATTTATTACTAGAGCTCGAATGTTTATGACTTAACATATTTTTTTCGCGCAGCCAGAATTACACCGGAGTGAGATACTAATTTGATTCATGAAGTCTATATTACAAATATGCAAACTTTTTTTGCATATTTTTGCATATTTGACATTTTTGAGCATATAAACGCATATATTGATAATTTATAGATTTAATGGCATATTTATAATATTTTAAATATAATATATAAACATAACATTTTATACGGTTAAAAACTCATATATTTATATCACTATATGTATACACCAATGTCGGAATCGCCTGTCGACGAACATTATCTTATCGTCTATCGTTAATAAATTAATATTATAGGTATAAGTATGTATAACAGTACAGTAATCCCTCGTTATCCACGAAGGTTACGTTCCAACAAACCTGCGCGGATAGCAAATCCGAATATATATTTACATTTATAGTAATTTATTTCTATCACGCATTTTTTTTTATAATTTATTTTGAATTAATAATAACCCCTTTATTGTGTTTATTTTTTGCATATTTTTGTTGAAAAATAGGTATATTTGATATATATATATATATTGAAGGCATATATTTGCATATTTTGAAATTTTTAAATGCATATTTTAATGAAATTTGGGTCATTAACATCCGAGCTTTATTTATTACAATAACTGTGCACTTTCAGAAAAATTATACGGTAAGTTCAAGTTAAGATATGCATGTCTGTCTATTTAAGCATGCCCGAGAAACCCACTTAAAAAACTATATTATTAATACATTTCTACTTCATATCATACATTTGCTGTCATTTAATGCTGCACGAATTTAATAGTATTTCCATTCACACATCCGTCAACGGTCAACGACGTTCTTACCTACATACTCATACCCATGAAGCAATGATAAATAAAACACATGTTACCCAGACCATGTTACGTTATAATAATAAATGGTTATTAACATATAAAAAATATAATTATTTGAGATAATGTGGTACGTATACAACACTTCCTATTATTTATTAAATTATATACAGATAAATAATTATGTGTTTATAGGATTCCGCCTAAAATCCGTTAACCTGCAGATTGTAGGCATCATTAATATTAGTTTTTGTAAAACAAAACTGTACGATTATAATGTAGGAAATTTCAGAGACCGATATGTTTTTCTACTTCAAAATCAAAACATTTAAACAATTTAACTATGATTAGTTATGATTTAAAATTTATATTTTAATTTAATAATGGAATATCCCACGCGGTTGTTGTAATCATTCGGTATATTAAAGTATCAATGCGGTGTCAAATGAATAGTCAATAATAATTGGTGGTTTCATTTTCCGGGTGTTATCGTTGGAGAAAATATAGAATTATGAGAATTTATCGACTCGTTTTTATATTACATTTCAAATTAATTGATTTATACATGCGATAATGAGAAATAATCTTAATTAAAATTAATTATAATCTAAATTTATTATTACGGTCGTCTTTGAAATATTTATAAATAAATAATAATGGATTCTCTCGTATCGATGGTAGTTTGTTGTATCCTTTAAAGGTATTTTCGTTCAAATATTGAATGTTCAAATAAATCATTAGGTTCATGAAAAATAGAAAAGTTCGACGAGTATTATTGCGTACTTGTATAACAATAGGCTGTCCCTATGATCAAAGCGAGAAAAACATTTTACAGTCGGAAAATAATTAAATTCAACTGCCCTACAATTCGTTGTTTAGGACAGTCCAGTATAACAAATAATAGACAACAGTTCAACAGCATAAATGCTGTATACAAATTTTATATAGAGAGTGTGTAAATAGGACAATCTGTATGATCTTCATTTAGGTTTCTTCCATGCAAAGCCACCAAAGCAGCACCACCAGAAAAACATCGTCACTATTCATGCTTCTAGAAGCGTTTTTGTGTTTCGATGTTAGTTTAGAGCGCGGATTTCTATGCAATTGCATATTTTTTCCTTTCAATATTTTTGGATTTTTATCAGTTATCTCCACGAATCATCATAATTTGAAGCTAATGGTGAAATTTTTTTTTTTTGCATATTTCTGCAAATTTAGAGATTATTGCACATTTTTGCATATTTTGGCAAAATTCAAAATTTATTGTATATTGAAGTGAAAATTTAAAAAAAAAAAAATGTATAAAATAATATTTTGTCAAGTAGAAAAATTAAAAATAAATTTCATAGTCACTAAATAATAATTTATATATATATATATATATATATTTAGTTATAAAATAAATAATCGATTACGACGTAAACTTAATATCTCTTGCTGTGTCAGTCGATTATCGACATACCACTTGCTTCAAATATGTTCCAATAACTTCGGTTGACATCGAGCGTTCGTTTTCAGTCTTTAAAAATATGTTAACCGATAAACGACACAGCTTCACAGAAGATAAACTTGAAACGCATATGATTATTCATTTTAATAATAAATAAAATTTTAAAAATAAATTAAGTTCAGAAAATTCCCTAAATTTTTTTGTATTAAGTATTTAAGTAATTAATTTTTATAAGTTGAATTATAAATTTTAAATAAATAAAAAATTCTTGCATATTTTTTTGCATATTTTCATAATTTTAACTGCATATTTTTTACATATTTTCATGATTTTGACTGCATATTTTTTGCATATTTTCATGATTTTTACTGAATATTATATGGCATATTTTGATACTTTTAAGTGTATACAAATCCGCGCTCTAGTTATGTTATATAACCACAAACTTAAAATTAAATATAATTCAGTTTCATTTTGGAAATCGAAGACCTATAATGTGTAACATATCTGTACGATCGTGATGTGCAGTAAAAGAAAAAATATTAGAAAGTTTTGAATACATCTATTACTATCTGACCGTTCTGCAAAAGGTTTATTTAATTTATTTTATTATGATTTAAGAAAATATGAAGATACATTTTTTATTTAATTAAGAATGTCTGTTAATTTGTTTGAAGAATTTATAGAAGATTTTAAGAAGATTTAACGGGTTAACAAACAAATATGAGAGGATATATTTCACCTCTCAAAAAATTAGTCTAACTTTAAGGTAAAGTATAATTTTGATTAAATATTTACGTGTACAAGCTGTCAATAAAATATTATATTGAATATTGATCTTATTAAAATATTTTTATTTTAAAGATTTATGCCAAATATAATATCTATATTATAATATCTTTATTATAAAAATCCATATTTAAAAATATTGACAATGTTTAAACGTCAACACGCATCACTAGCAGTGAGTCGTACGAAAATACTATGCGTTTTAATTTTATAACAAAATAAATTTAAATAGTGGCGCTACTATTTTGGTAGCGTACATTTCTATGAGTGACGCGGCCAATTTGGAGGCGCCACCATGAGTGAAAACTTTAATTTAATTGTTAATACATGTTATTTTATGGTAGCGCTGCTCTGGTGGTTTCGTATGAAAGGGGTCTTAATCGCTATAATGGTTGTGATCGAAATTTCAAATTATTAATTTCTATCAACAGTAGCCTCTAAAATTAGTTTGCATATTAAATGTTTTTATAGATCACTAATTAATTTAGGTAGTTTAAATAACCGTTGTAAATATTATATTCACTCAGATTCTTCCAACTGTTTGAGAAACAGTCAACTATCATTTTGTATTTTTATTTATTCATTAAATTGGAAATGGAAACAGTCAAAAACACGAGTGCAACTACAGTGTGCGTTATGATGACTCTTTTATAAAATGTTTTTACAGTTATTAGATACTTCAAAAATTACATAATCGTTTATCAATTCCATCTCGGTAAAAAAAGTAATTTTATCACAATATAATAGATGCATGTCCATTTAAAATTTTTTTTAAGTGTTATTACAAATCTCGAAATAGAGTTGAAAGATACTGTAAGTTGTTCAGACAATGAAACTCGCACCAAATTATGTAACAGTTTACATACATTTTTGTTTTGAGTATATTATATTAATTCGGTGCTGAAAAGTTAAAACGAAATAAAGTCGTGTTCATTTATCACTTCACTATGTATTCTACCACTTTTGTACTTTTTAAGAACATTTTAAACGTTCCATTTATTCGGGTGAAACCCGTGTTTTGATCATATTTCTATTTACTACCGGTTAATTATGTTTTTATAAATATTTATTTATTTTATTATATATTTATAATAACAACATATTGATTATAACTATTTAATATTAATTCGATTCTTAGAATTATTTACCTCTAAAAAATTGAGCATCTATTCTACTGTTTTGTACATCAATATTAGTTGTAATAAATTATTTGGTATAAAAAAAAAAATTATAGACCTCAATCGCGTGGTATTTGCTTTATATATTCATATTTGTTCGTTATGTATAGTATTTTACCAAACAAATAATTGATGAAACTTATTTATTAAATTATGGAATGATCGTATACCTTGAAGCAATTGGTCAAGTAACAAAAATAAAACATTTTGTACAATTTCCCCGTAATTTTGAAGATATTAACATGGTATCTAATTATTTTATACGTTGATACCTATTAATAATTGTTACTTTTACCTAGTCTTCGGTATACCTAATTACGAAAAAAGATAAGATTCCTATAATCGGCAATCCATAATATTTAATTAAAAGATCGGTTATATTAATCTTTGTCCTTGAATTATTATTTCTTTTGCTATTTCGTAGGTCTTTGAAAATATTTTACTATCGGTTTTGATATACTCGTATGTATTTATATTACAATATGTAATACATAAATTGTATAGTCTTGTATTGCATATTTGAGTCTAAAATTGCAAATTTTTATCTAATTATCTTATCTAATAATTTTAATAGTTTTAAATTTTACAACTATACATTTATTTCAAGCCTTTGCCTCATCTTTGAACAACAAAAGTTATAAAGTAAAAAAAATAAACATATCGGGAATTAAGCAGCATCATCTTAATTTTCGTATTAGTATACTCTGTATAAAAGTTATAATCACGTTGTTTGTAGTGCTGACTCCACGGTCAGTAAATCCAAATAAGAACACACAATCGTTCTCCACCGATTTTTTTGTAACGATGACGCCAAAATTAATTGTAATTATTCGTGCATTAATAAAAACAAATAACTAAATAAAAAATATTACTTCTAGTTTTTGATTTGATTTTTAAACACTATCGAATAAGCACTTTACAAAATCTAAAAATCCTCGAGATACGTTGTTTATTATTAAAATATATTTAAAATTTATTTTATGTTCCTTATTCGAGTAGAATTACTTATTTACATTGTTCGGTGCATTTTTTTTTTTAATTGATATTATGCGTTTTTAAGAAATGATGTGCATGCATTGTACAATGCTCAAATTAATGCATAGTGCATCCCTATATTTAATTAACGGTTTTTCGAGCATTTAATTCATAGCGAGTTGAATAGGGAGTATCATGTTCGTTCATAATAACGCTTACTTCGAAGTGATATGTAAAGCGTAATGCGATCAGTAACCTGTACGTCAATGGTAAAAATCGTCCAGCGACTGTTATCCAAAACTGCACCGACGCGTAGCAGTTTATACACAAAGAGTGATTCATACTTCACGGTGACCGAAATTATAACGACTGCAATAATATCATCTGCTCATAATGTGTAGTTCGTAACAGTACGGTTTATTGGCACGTTATCAAAACATTATTTTAAAAATGGGTATAACAACTAGTGTATAAAAAAAAAAAAAAAACAATAACAATAACAATATCGACACGCGCGCCCGTGGAGCTCACCGCCGGACCCGTTAACGGGGTGGGTCGTGGGAGGCGTGGTGGTCACGGTAATGAGATGATGGTGGTATGGTCACCCTTAGTGCGTGGCCGCGAACGTCTCGCCGGGGTAGTAGTGAACGTGTTCCGCGTCCTTTTGGTGCTCGGGATAGTCGAACTTGTACTCTGGCTGGGCGGCGGGTGCGGCGACGTGCTTGTGCAGCGGCTGGATCTTCTTCACCTCGGCGCGGTACCCGTGCTCGTCGTCCGCGGTGTACTCGACCACGCGCGTCGAACCGTCCGCCTCCAGCAGGCTGTACGTGCCCCTGACCGTGCCGCGGCCGTCGCTCACCTCGTTCTGGCTCTTCACGTCGCCGGTGACGTCGTCGTGCACCGCGTACTGGAAGTGATACGACCGGGGCTCGTGTTGCTGTTCCTCCTGCACGTGTTGTTCGCCTCCGTAGTGCTGCTGCTGCTGCTGCTGCTGCTCGTAGGACGGCTGCAGCGCTTCGACATCGCTGCCGTACGGGAACGCCAGACCGGCGGACATCGCGCACACGGCCACGAGAACGGTGCAGTACAGCTGAATCATGCAACGGAACACAGAGAAGACACGTCGATGTTATTTGCGGTTTTTTAAAAAAAAAAAAAAAAAAAAATGTTCATCCCAAACGGATCGATTCAGATTTACATGCATTAGTTGATCGAGTCAATTTAGTCGACGTGCATTACGTTAAAATAACAGCGCTTGAAACAGAAGAACAGAGAGCACAGCGCGTTGTCGAGATTACGGTATTTAAGCGGAACGGCGACGAGGGCGGGATCCGCATTGGCGTTCGACATAATTCGTCTTAGTTTAAACTGTTATTGTTGTTATTGATCACGCAATGGGATGCACGCGGTCTATACGGTGAACACGCGAAAAGCGATCCGAAGAGCGAAGCGAGACGGTAAGCATTGCGTTGTATCCTGATCGCCCATCACCACCACTTCTACACCCGAGCACACTAAGTCGAATCCACCGCGACCGTTACTTTTTCGGATGCGTTTGTTACGGAAAAACGAAGCATCTGTTCAAATCTAACGTTGCGAGATTGGATTTGTTTTCGGAATTTTCGTCGGAATCGCTCTCAGCAGTGCCGATGTTGTAAGACTTACACGAATGTTTATTCGGTGCACGTGCGTGCAATAGCAAATGCAATAGCATTTAGGAAAGTTTTAATGTTCGACGAAAACATAATGCTCATGCGCGACTGTTAAAATTTTATACTCACTTTAGCTGCCATCGTTTGGGTATCTGTTGGATTCTGTTGGACTGGACGTCGGTTGTTGTACACTGCGTTCTCAGCGTTGTTCTTCGATCCACGGCAACTGATGACCGTTACTGTTAGGCCAGCACTATTTATACGCGAGTCTTGGTCACGATGGTCTTGTACCACTAGGATTCAAAGAAGGAACAGAGCAGGAGTAAAAGGAGCAGCCGGAGGAGGAGAAGATATCCATCGGACGAGATAACATAACACGTTACGACCGACCTCGCAATGACTCGGACAATGCTCACGGATACGGATATAACAATATTAATAATACTATTATTATACGTTGCGCCTATCCACATAACGATATATAATATATATACATGTTATCCAATATTATAGCCCGTTGCGAAAAACTGAATAAATTAAAAATTATTATCGTCGTCTGTTCGCTCTTATGTCGTACGTGAGATGTTGGATTAACTGCATCTCGGTGTTACGTCCAAACAAGACGATCGGCCGTTTTGGTTGTTGTCGGGTCGTCAGAGCATGAAATTAGTTTTTCGTCCGTTCGGCAAACATCGTCGTATTACGTAGCTGCTCGTCGAGATACGTATTACAACTTATTACCAAATAACTTTATTTTTCCTTTTACCACATATTCAGAAGTTCCAGTTTGAAACGCGTTAATAGCGTTTGTTATGCGTATAGTACATTTTTTTGTACCGTCGGCGGCAATGATTAATTTTATTTTCTAATCAAAATGTGGATGTAGTTCAAAATGTTGTTTTGGATTCTTGAATACATTTTTGAACGGTTTAGTTTGAACGTTAAACATTTTGCCGCATTTCAATAGTTAGATTAATAATAAAGCAAAATATTTTGGACATATCTACATGCAGCGGTTTTAAAATACAATTTTTTCTACGAGAAATAATCGTTTTAACAATTTAAAAATAATTTTTTATACTTGAAGAGACTTTTGGATCTGGTTGTAAAGTTGAGCTGATGATTTAATTATAGTTGAATGTTCTTACATGGATGTATAGATACAAAATTATTTAGTACCTAATACAATAGCACCGTTATGATGTAGTCAAAATAAATAAACAATATAATTAAATAATTTATTTAATTAATAATAATTAATAATAAAAAATAAAAATAATTATAATATACGATATACGATTATACGATATTATAATATATTATAATAGTAAGTTACTATCACAATGCAGTATAAACAAAAATACATTATAAACTCTGTAATTTTTAAAACATCAGTTTTACTTTAATTAATCATTTTTATTTTTATAATTGTTTTCAGTGTCTTATCCATATTAATGGAATATTGAAAGTTCTTCAGTGGTTCCTTCGGGTTCTTCTATCGAACAAAAATTATTTTAAAAATTAAAATTTAATCAATCAATGAATTTTTTACAAAATATAAAAAATTTGAATTAGTTCATAAACATTTTTATTTAAAACAAAATACAAAAACACATATTTAAATCATATATTGAATAGTTAATTTAGTCTTTATGCAAATTATTATCAATTATATATATTTTTTATTCCATTTTAACCCACGACCATGGGATAACAGATTAACCTACTATTGCCGCAAAATAAATATTAATACAAAAAACCTATTCGGGAATGCATTTGATATTATTTTTTTAGTTTTATATATGGGAATTTTGTTTTCATTAGTGGTCAGTGTTCAACTTGAGGGGGGGGCGCAGGGGGACGGAGTACCCCAACTAATTTTCAGAAATTTCAGCGTCCCCCTACTATTATTACGCTATAATCATAACGCTCAGCCAGTTTTGGGGACGTCCTTTTTTTTAAAGTAAATAGAGTCCCCCTTCTTTAATTTTGTCAAGTCAAGCACTGTTAGTGATAGTTATGTTAATAAACTAGAAAATATATTCAATAATCATTAGAAATAAAACTTATAATTTATGTTAAATACCTCTACATTTGAGCATCGATTAAAAAGACTAACTATATTTATTGATAAATAATATATTATAGAAATGTATTAGTTTATTTATAACTATATATGATACATATAAGGTTTATATAAACTTAAACATCTTAATGGATTATGTAGGCTTGATTTTTGAAGAAGTTAACATTTTTTTGTGTTATTTGCTACTTCAAATATGCCTTTAAACCATAGTTGTTATTTTTCCTTCATTGGTATCCTTCACCCGCCTTTCAGTTTTATTCAGCCAGAATTTTTGATTTGATGAATTTGATAATCGAATGTATATAAATAGTTTTTAAACAGCAGAAAAAGTAATTTTAAACAGCTCAAAATCAATTCTCAAATACGTAAATAGCGTTCAACAATGCCTTTGAATAGATCCTGATCTCCAGTGAAATTAATATTCATTGTCGATTTTTTATAGTGCACAATGTGTAAAAGTACACGTTTTTGCATTTGAGTTAATTTTGATGCAAAGTAATAATGTGTACTTACAACATTTTATTTCGTTAGTCAGTGTCGGTGCTAGGTATTTCAGGGCCCTGGACATAGGTATTACGGGTCCCCAGAGGGGTGAAATTCTAGTTTTTTTTTTTTTCAGGATTTTTTAAAAAAAATACTATTTTTCTTCGAATTTAAACAATAACTATAGAGATAATAAATATTATTATTTATTGTAGGAATCCTACTCGACGGGTATCGTCAAAATATTACGCTTTCGTCGTATGGATAACGATTTATTTTGTACTTTGTATTTTGGCTAAATTTAGATATCATTTTCCAAATAACTGGTGATAAGCATAATATAGATTTATAATTTGTTGATATAAAATGCCAATGTGTCTCACGGTAATAAGATGATAATTAAAAATCATGGGGGACCTTTAACAAGCGCGGGATCCGGGACAAATGTTCCATTTGTCCTCCCTTAGCGCCGGCACTGTCGTTAGTACACGAAAGAACTGTAAATACGTTGGTAAGTACAGAAAACGACTGAATTCACGAATTCACATTTAAAATGTTGTTAACATTATAATAGCTTAATTGTATAATAATATTCGTATTACAAACTGTATATATTTCAATTAATACCAACAATTATACTCATACATTTATATAATCGCAGACGAGTAAAAGTAGGTTAGCGTCGACGTATTATTATTAGATAGTTTTTTTTTCATATCAAGAGAGCGTATATTTGATTATAACAAATATACTGATTAATTAATTATATAGTTGAATTATATGGTAACTGTGTGATTATTTCAAATATTTTCAAATACCATGAATTCTTTTGTTAATAAAAATTCAATTTTATTAATTTATAATCAATTATTTAAAAACACGATTCGTGCTTACTAAGAATTAGATCCAGTATTATATCTAAATATTGTACTTGGATATTTTATTTATATCTCTTTGCCTATGAAAGTAAAAATTTGGATTTAAAACAGGCATTAATTGTTGTTACTCACCTACACATACCAATGTAGACTTATCTTTAAAAAGCAAACCGATAGGTACATATTACTTCAAACTTATTACTATGGTTTATTTTGCATTAATAATCAGGATCGTCGAGAAGGAGGGGGAGCATTGGGGTTATTTTGTCTCAGGCCCCAAACTTTTGGTGGCCACAACATCCATTGATTTTTTTGTTAACTATAGTAGAGTAAGCTAAGTTTCAAGTTATACATTGATATTAATATTTAACAAATATTGAGTTATACAAATTAGTCACAAATAGTTTCTCTTTTTTTTTGCGTTTTAGCGTTTGCATAAAAAGTACTTTTAAATTCTAATTAATGATAAAATTTTTGATGATACCCTAGAAAAAAACGCGAAATGACTAAAAGAGATATTTTATTAAGATTAATAATTGTTGATTATCCGTGCGATAGTGCGGCACGGAATCGTTGTGAACCGATCACGATAACCACAGGTTTTAACAATAACATAAAATATGGTATTTCTCCCATAACAATATAAAATATTAAGTATTGACTGTTGCTGCGGTTTCACTTTTCGAATGAATAATAAGCAAAAAAGAAACGTATAATTCATACCAAACTAGTAAGTAATAATTTATACTTAACACTGTTCCTACCTAAAGTACGTGTACAGTTGTACATTCTGTGGTTGAACCTATTTAAAAAACTTAAGAGGCAAGAGTTTATACAGTAATAAAAAAACGATATTAAATTATACATTTATAATTGAAGCCGTGAGTTTTTCCTACAAATTACGTAGAATCTCTGACTTTTGATTATGCATATTCTATACGCGCAGTTTAAATAATATGTGTGAATTTTTAATATATTATTTAAAATAAATATAATCATTATTAAATTGTACATATTACTTATAACAGAAATACAATATATAAATAGTTTATATAATATATTTAAGTGGTGTTAACAATAATAAAAAAAAGGAAAAGAACTAGGTGAACTTTTTCAATACTTCTCTAGGCTTGAAACCAAATGGTTATAATATAGTTTTATACTTATGTTTTTATTTAGATTTAATATTTTGAATTTAATGAATGTTTCACACTCTTTATGATAAATTGCTTTGACTTATTATAATAATTAATTTATATTTTAATTTAGAAGAAAAATTAATTTTACAATAAGAACTATTTATTTGTATTAAGATCTGATAAACAGTATTGAAATTAGTTACAGAATTAATTTCACACAATTTAACTCATGAAAACAATAATAAAAATATAATCTTCTGTGGTGTTATAAACATTAATTTATTGAACAATGATGATCTAACTAATAACTATGTAATGCTAATGTCATATTATGGATTTATTTCATACATAAATTCACCAACTCGTGTTTTGGAGGTGGGAAAATCATACATTGACCATTAACCATGTATTTATGAAAAAAAAAAATATTATATAAAAACGATCTAATCTTAAAAAATAAATTCGAAAAATATAGAAACCTTTTAAAAAGCATTACAAGTGAAACAAAATTTGACTAGTACAGTGATAAAATTAAAAAATGTATTAATGACTCGAAACAGATATGGAAATCTATTAAAAAAAGCTACACAGAGACAACTTTACAAAAATAAAACTCTATGACAAATGAAACCCATACTTATAAAATAGCTAATATTTTGTTAATATAAACACAAATAGTTATAACAATACTAATAAAAATACTCAAGAAAATAAAGCTTCATCAGTATTAAAACAATCATTATATACAAGAAAAACAAATATAATAAAAGGAATAAAAAATATAATCTAGTCCTTAAAATGCAGCACAGTACCGGGATCAGATGATACAGCACTGATAGCGGACGGCGACACGTAGTATTCAATAAAATAAATAGCAGAACGTTTTAAAAAAAATAATTAATTGGTTTTCAAGTTTAAAATAAAATAACTTGACTTTAAACAATTATGAAACTGTATTTATATATGTTTTAACTTTTTCAAACTCAATAAAAACATCTTAAAAACCCATGTTGCAAAATTAAATGATAATATACAATGTAAATTCCCTTCCATAAATAGAATCATTAATACAAACTATTTAGGAATTATATTCGAACAACATCTATGAAGGAATTTTCATATTTTACAATTAAATTTAAAATTACGAAAATTATACACTTTTTACCCTAGGTTATTTATACATAGCTACAGTTTACAGTATACACTGGGGTCAGCCTGTTATATTAATACAAATAAGATACTACATTTTTAATTTGAATACAATTAAAAAAATGAACAATGATTGTAAGTCTATAAACATGTCATATTATTATAAAAAATAGTTATACTACATTTATGAAATAATAAATATGATTGTAAAAAAATTATTATATTACACTCTTTATTAATTACAGTTAGTTATAATAATTAATATTTATAATTATATAATTAATCCTCAAACATGTACAAATATAAATTACAAATGTATTCAATAAAAATCTATCACAACATTAAAATGAAAAACGTAATTCATTTTCACTGTCATTAGTCTTACTGTTACAATACATCTATTATCGATTACATTTATAAAGTTTTGCTGTCTTAAAACATTAATCACATATTTTGTATCATATTATATTACAGTAAGTTATACAACAAATATCGATACAACGAAAGTCATAGAAGTCCCCTACAGAAAATCTATTAAAACAATGTTAAATACATCTCAATATAACGAAATGATTGATTTTTAAAAATCCTGATACAACAAAATATTTGTACAGGTTAAAAAATATTTTCCCTTCTTAAATTAATCTAAAGATAACAAGCATACAATTTTATGAAATTTTTTTACAAACTTCATCCTTATAAATATTCATCAACTACAAAATTATTTATTTTTTATTAAAACAGCAAACTTTGTTCAAAATAAAATGTTTAATTATCTATATTATATTAGATTTAATGTTTCATGAGAAACTATATGAAATTATATATAAATAAATATTAATTTTTACAAACAGAACTTTTAATTTCAAGGAAGTTATGATAGTAAGAAAAGTATTTAACAGTCATTTGAAATAATAAGATACTTATTAGCTTGTTATAATTAAAGTTTTAAAAAATGTCACTTTAGCAAAAATAGATTTGTTCCCTTGAGAATTTTTGTGAAAATTGAAAAAGAACTTCAGTACAAACATATTTTGAAGTTTGATTTTTGAATATCAGTAGATATGTGGTTTGCAAATTATTTTCATCACAATATATTCAATCCATATTTGATATCTAAAAAAAAAAAAAATTATCAGTATAAAGCTACTAAAATAAATAATCAGTTTAAACTAAACAAAATGTTAAAATAAACATAAAATATTATTTTGTATTTACTAATTTTCATTTTTACATTTCAAATACTATAGGTCATTAATATTATTAAAGAAAATATTTAATTAGATATTTTGGAGAGTAAAAGTAGTTCACTCTTTCAGAAATTTCCCTCTAATTAATGTAAAACAAGTTAAATAACTTAAACAAGTTAACATATTTGGTGATTGTGTATTTTTTATGTATTTTTGCCAAGTTGTATGATAAAATACGAAAATTATAACATTAATAGTTAAAAGATAGTAAGAAATAAACAACGTTAAACAGACAAATAGAATAAATGTATAAATATACATAAATTAATTTAATCATACAATTCATAGGAATTTATAATCAAATTTTAATTGTTGAATACAATTATTTACCTTTGATATTTTTGAGGACTTTTCTGTACCAAAAAGATGGAATTTTGTTTTCTTTACCCAAACAACATCTTGAACCCTAGACATTTTTTGATTATTAGATATAACATTATATTAAATAAGTTACAAAAATCTTTTAAATGTAACGGTAAAACGTTATTACCTATAATCTGTACACAATAAGTTTTACATGTTATAATTAAAGACCGGATTTATTATGTTTTTACATATCGTTACTGGGTCTATGCAGTCTTATGAGAGTCGAAAATGTGGAAAATTCATACAATTGTGTGTTTGTAGAAAAAAGTCTTTTTTTCATATTTTAGGATATTTGAGTTTGGTGTCATCGTTGGAGATTGTATAAACTATTATCTACAAGCTAACCAATATACTTGGTGAAAAGGGTAACATAATAAAAACTAAAGTGTCTCAATTATGTCAAAAAATTATTATAAATAATAATTATTAAAAATTATTATACAAAAAATAAGGTTGCCAAATGTTAGTAAAGTTGAGAACATTTTATGTGGAAAAAATGGAGATCTCCCAAAACATTTTACACCCAGTGTAGCTGCTGACATGCAATGCCGTAACTACACACTATGGGGCTGGTATGCAAATTTGAATTTGGGGCCTAAATATTTTTTTCAAAAAAGTATTTACCTACTATAAATAAAATATGTTATCCGGTGTTTATATTATGGAAGGTAGTCTAGTAGATATTTAATTTTAAATGACCTGCATTAATGTAGACCTGCATTATTTTTTGCTATTTCTGTTTTAAGAATTAGTATTACCATAGGATTATAAATACTTTAGTAATATGAAAAAAAAAATACAAACAAGTGTTCGTAAATCTTGATGCATCAGAACTGAGCTTCAATGTCAAAAATTCGGTCTAGAACATCCAAGAGCAAATGGACGGGATAATGAAACTGATGTCATTCTCGCTGAAGTGGAAATTTTCTGTTTCTAATAGAACGTCAGAACCAACTTGTATTTTTGGATGAATGGTAGCGGCGCACTGAGGCTTTATAATGACAATCGCGTTGTCTCTGCAAAAGCTCGACATGAACGCAAATCTTGGATGGTCAGCTGATCGACTGATTAATCTACATAACACAATAAACATTGTCGACTGCTTCAAATCGCTATGAATCCATCAGGTTTAGAGGATCATTACACTTTAAATTCAGTTGATGCTTCCGATCATATTCGTCGATATGTTTCTAAACGTTTGATAACCAGTTATCATTGAATTAGTTGTAATCAGTTTGTAATCAGTTATAGGTGATAGAAGCGTCCGGTGCGGGTAGGTAAATTTCTCCCTTCGGCGCCTAGAGCATAGCTGTGTGATTAATGGTAAATAATAAAATTATGAATAGTTGTCGAAAACACAATGTTTGTTACTCAATGCATCGCATACACAGAAGGTACTCTAGGGTTTTAACTCTCGTAAAAGACCAAAGAAATATATTTTTATAAATTGTTTAATAATAAAACAGGTTGAGGTTATTAGTTTGAAAAATTTTATCTTTAAATTAAACATTAAATTAAACAATACCAGTTACAATGCTCAAATAATTTTTAATTTAAAAAAAAACATTATTTCGAATTATTCACGTAATTCTTTAATATGTTAATATTAGTTGGTTAATTTGCTAATTCACTTATTTTTTTTTTTTTTTTTTTTAGAATGAATAATATATTGATATCAAATATATATGTAAATAAACTTAATTTTATAATATTATCAATTTTACATTGTTATTAATTATTGATTATAGTTATACACAGGATCGGCACCGAGGAGGGGGGGCAATGGGACTTTTTGCCCCAGACCCCAGTCTAGGAAAATTTAAAGGGTACCCCTTAAAGTTCAAATTGATTAGAAATAATTGGCGTTACTCATTAGAGCAACGTTTCTCAACTTTTTTAGTGTCGCGACCCCCAAAATAGGTATAATATATAGTCAATCTCTTTACGACCCCCCCTCCATCTAGGTTAGGTAAAAATTTAAATAATAAAAATATCCTATCATTAACCAAACGAAATATAACATTTTAAATACCAATTTATAAATACCATATCTAGTAACTTAAGCTTATCAAGTTTGAAAGTTATGTACCGGGTCGTTAGGAATTTCCATTAGTAGAGTAGTGCCCGTTTTATTGATGAGATATCTACCTACAAATAATCGACTGCTTATTATTGTTATTTTTAATATTATTTTTGTGTGTTATGAAACGATTAATTTATCGATGACAGTTGCATGTCACTCGTGTTGTTAAACTCATGTGATATTGCGTTTATTAAGTTGGTTTTTAGTGCGTCTTTTTAGTTTTGTGTAATTTGAATTAATGATTATGGAGAAATATATAACAAAACGTAATGCTCCGTGAACCAACGGAAAAAAAATTCAGGCCATATAACAATGAGTATTTGAAGTATGGGTTTATTTCACTTGACAATAAGCCGCAATGTGTTGTTTGCTTTCAAGTTCTATCTTAAGAAAGTATGAAACCTTAGGTGGCAATAAAAACTAAGTACAGAAATCGTTTTTTATCACTAGAAAATAACTTACTTTTATATGTTTCAGATGTTGAACAATAAATTAAGCAACTTTTAAATGTAAAACAAATTCAAAGATCACACTAATTATTTAAAGTCTTAAATATTTAAATAAAAAGGTACATTTTGTAAATCAGCGTTTTATTATTTTTGACCTGCGCGACCCCGAGTCAAGGTGTTCGTGACCCCCTTGGGGGTTGCGACCCCTGGTTGAGAAACGCTACATTAGAGATTATTATTTCTAAGCTATTTTTCTTTATGAAATATAAATACATTTAATTAAATAAAGTTAACTTAAATATATATTTAAGAACTAGGTTACACTAGGTTACATTTTCTATTATACTAATTTCTTAATAGTTATGACTGTAATTTATAATGGTCATTGCCGAAGTGTGAAAAATTACATAATTTTATTCAAATATACGAAAAAATTCGCTATCACAAGTATCGATGCGACAACATCCAAGTTCTTATTTTCTGTGGTTGTTTCGGCGCATACTAGTTGGGTCCCATGATTCAGATTGTTCACTGATTGGGTCCTGTGTAAAATAGCCTACTGTACGAGTTGGGTCCCGAGTAAACTAGTCTACTGTACTAGTTGGGTCCCGTGTAAACCAGTCTACTGTACGAGTTGGGTCGCATAAAAAACATTTTCCTTCCCATTTTTACAGACTTAGGACTGTCTATAATAACATCTATAGTTACTACAGGTATGGTTAAAAATGTTTTGTTTCTAATTTTTTCCTGATTTACAATCGTTCGTCGTCCATCTGATTTTTAATGATTAATAATATTTTAATTTAAGGGTTGAAATTTATAAGACATAGTTTTTACGAATTCGTATCAATTAATTTTTTTTATTATTTTTTCTGTCATTTTTTCTTTTACGAATTCTTCCTTAGATATTATACAGTTTCTTCTTTTTCCTTCTGGACTTCTCATTTTAATATAAACATCTATTTGAATATTTTTTAAAACGTGTATAAATTGATATATACTTGGGTGAGCAGAATAAAACATAGAATTGAAGTGTGAGTGAAAGGATTCACATGCGTTTGTAGTTATTATTGTACTAGGCTTAAATTCAGACCATAATCTTGAAGGGAACTTAGCGTCAGAATGTAAATAATTGTTTAATAAATATTCCGTGAATATTTGTAATCGTTCGTCATTTGGTTGATTATTATTTCAACGGCAGAAAATACCTAATCTAAAATATTATTTTCGTACTGTATATTACTACGATGAGATATCATTTTATTGCTAGAAAGTACGTCCTTAATCCATATTCGTACTTTATAATAATTATATAATATAATTATTTTATATAATTGTATAAATACGAGTACCATGGACCCAATTCAAACGCATCATTTGATACGCCCGGACCCAATTCAGACAAAACATTTTATTCCCACGGACCCAATTCGTACAAAATTTAAAACTAGTATTATTTTCGGACCCAATTCGGATGCAGCCGGTTGTTTATAAATTATTTAGGAATAATTTAAATTTGTATTAAATGTGGCAACTGTTAAGACATTGTTGAAAAGTTATTAACAATGAAATTCATTGTATTAATGCTTTTAAATGACATTGATTGGTTAAAGTTTGGAAAACTATATTTATCAACATTTTGTGAACTTTGCGTGTATTCTTTTATCATACTCGTATATTATGATGATTGAGGGGCCTCCGAATTTATTTGCCTCAGGCCCTAAAAAATCTTTAGGACGGCTCTGGTTATACAGCTACCTCATATTTATTCATTCGGATATTTAGTTATAATATTAATTAAATATAGGTACGACTCGTATGCGCAAATATAATTTAGATTTAAATAATAAAGATATAACTCGTTTGCTCATATTTATCTTTTTTCAATTCATTTGAGCCCAAAGCATCTTTATCTTTCTGCCTATCTGTCTTGCAATGTCGTGATTAAAAATTTGTATATGAGTTTTTTGTTTTTAATAAATATATAATTATAATCTTCATAATTAGTTATTATAGTCTGTCTCTGTTAGTTCTAATATAAAAAAAAAATAAATAATATTTACTATACTAGGATCTATTCTAAGGCGTTGTTGAACGCTATTTGCGTTATTGAGAATTAATTTTGAGCTGTTTAAAATGTTTTTTTGTGCTGTTGAAAACCTATTTATACATATTTGATCAGCAATTAAATATTAAATCAACAATTCTGGCTGAATAAAACTGAAAGGCGGGTAAAAGATACCAATGAAACAAAAAAAAACAATCATGGTTTATAGGCATATTTGAAGTAGCTAATAACATAAAAGATCAAGAAAAAGAGAAAAAACCATTTTCTAAAACTAAAGTTTTAGTAAATACCAATACACAGAAAAATAATTGTTTTGTATAAATGTATAATAATAATTTTTTTTTTTATTGAATTTTAATTTTTCAACTAATAAAGAGTTAAATAAATCCTAAATGCTTATTCAATACCTATATTGAAAGTGTTATGTCTAAATATATTTATTATGCAAGTTAATTTAAATATAAGTATAAAATAAAACTCATAATAAATATCACTTCAACTGATATATAGGTATACCATATACATAATATGTAGTTATTGCATACAAATATACAAAATTAAATTGTATACTGCAACAATATGTATAGGGGTTTGTAAAATAATTACGCTGTAGACAGAAATCCTTAGAATAGACTCTATACTATACTTAATTCTATATAATTTAAACGATCAATAGTTTTATTTTTATACTATAAAAGTATTTATTTTATAGTTATTTATTTTATTTTAGTCAGTATTTGTTTATTGATGATAATATTGATAGTATGTGGTGGATAAGACAATTCTTCGGCATTCATAGTATTTAATATTACTACAGTGATGGATGATGAAAGTCATAATACAAACCACGAATTTCGAGATTGGGATATTACGCGTAATTTTATTTCTGTATACAAATAATTACCTGAATTGTGAAGTATTCGATGCAACGAATATTATTGAATATATATTTATAGATAACAAATATATTTATGAATTTTATTTCATTTAAAATATTTAAACGATTGTACAATTTTTGTGTAGCAACCCATTATTTTTTCCATTGTTTACGTTTGTCTATTCTTTTTTTTTTTTTTTTTTAATAGAAAGGGCAAGTATAATTGCCATACACGTCTTTTTTTACTTATTTATTTTAGCTCACTACTGTTGAAAGCAAAATAAATACTGAGTATTGACTATAATTTGTACTGGCCGTTTGAGCACTATACTTAAACCAACGTTATGTTACAAAATATTATTACAATGTCCGATAGAAATTTCAGCACACTATATAGTGAATAAACAAAGAATTATTATTTAATAAGCGTCAAATTAATGAGATACTGCCTTAACGATTTTATTATTACATAATATTTTACTGTTATCATTATTAACAATAAATATTAGTTTTTATTTAATTTTTATCAAATGTCGATTTAAAAACAATTTTAAATTGTATTATCCTATTTACATATATATATATATAATAAAATATATTAGTATATTATATTTATTTGTATATGTCCTTCAAGCCATTTAATGTCAAGGTCCTTTCAACATTTTAAAATCTGTTTTCTGAGAATACTACATTATTAGGAACTTAAAGAATAAATTCTGAATGCAATGTCAAATATAC